CAAAAAAGAGGGTTCTATTAAAATTTATATACATAATTCCATGGTATGAAAAATCTCACAAGGTAGCTAAGATCAAAATACGATTGTGCTGGTACTAAACAAAGCTTACACTCCAATTTCACTATAAGATCTCAAGAGTTAGTATATATACCACTTTTTTCTGCTATCTGTAAGAAATTGACAAGACAAAAGGTTAAAATGAAGAAAATAATATTTGTGTAATATAGAAAACACACCCAAAATAATTAAATTTTCCTGCTAAAACACAAGTCTTCAACAAATGATCATCAGTGGGCACTCAAAACTGTCATAACAGCACACAATAAAAGGGTAAGTTATTCTCCTTCCCTCCCTCTAAATTTACTTACAAACATCAAAACTATAAATTTCACCACCGACAGATAAAAGGATAGAAAATTTGGCAAGTTATGAACATCCAGCTACTACTAGCATACCCTAATGTGTATATAAGTTAAAATTCATTCAATATTAGAATCAAGAACTAATGCCACAAATCAATTCATATATACACACTCATAAAAAAAACTAAAGCATTTAAAACTGTACATAGAAAACAAAATGAACCTCCCAGAGACCAATTTCTGTCACAAACTAGCCTGAGGAAACTCTTAACAAGACCCTCGAAAGGGTTGGATGATAATGACAGTAATGAAGGTAACGTTGATTCAGAATATTGCATGAAATGTCATTAGCTATTTTGGCTCAGAGAGGGAGAAAAATAACCGAGTCTAAAACGCAACAAACAAGGAGCAAATAAAGATAACCAAAATGGATAGACAAGGAGCTCTTATTCCTTGTTACCGAATTTCCTTGCAATGATGGGCCGAACGTCATCAGTATCAACTAAGGTCTCCAAAAATGGCAGTAGTGAAATAAGTGCAGTGTCAGATGGGTCATTAAACCAACTCTTGATCGGGATTCCATTATTCACTTGCAACCTGAAAACCTGAAATAATAAAAAAAATAGCACTTTTTAACATAGAGATTTATTCATAAAAAAGGAAAAAATGCATTTTAAGTCTTGTTGGTTTAATGACATCACAATTTTAGTCCCAAAGTTGCAATATATCGCTTTTTGGTCATGTGATTTAATATTTTACTGTCCTTTGAGGACTGAAATTGCAGCAAATTCCCAGATTTTTAATAGCAATTTAAGTCATGTAATTCAAAATTTTGTTGCAATTTCAGTCCTGTAATTTAAAATTCAGCAGCAAATATTAGATCACAAGACCAAAAAGCGAAAAATTGGAATCTTGAAACTAAAATTGCTATGACGTTAAACCAACAGGACTAAAAATACATTTTTGCATTCATATAACATAGAGCAAGGTGATGACAAACACAAAAAAAAAGAGCAAAATCATATCCAAAAAAAAAAAAAATACCTGGGGGGAATTATCAATTATGGCAACTTTTGCAAGATCAACGCCTAATATGGTCAAGTCTTTCACGTAAGTTCCCTCCGAAACAGTGCACGATTCACGATAAGCCCGTCTCGATATAACCTTTCCGTCCGGGTCAAGAATGTCGAGAAGCTGTTTCGCGTAAATGCTCTGGCTAGCAGTGAACACTACGATTTCGAACATTTCAGCCACTCTTTGGAGGAAAGTCATTAGATGAGGCCTTTGTTTCACATACACTGTACATTCTTTTGTGTCGAGGGTAACAAGAAATGTGAAGTCCGCATCATCACAGTGCTCCAATGTAGAGTGAACGAGTGTTTCTGCACACGGGAAATGAGAAAAGCCTCTATTGGACAAACTGATTTATTTGATATTATTAAAGATAAAAAAACAAACATAAACACGTACGTAAAAAGATCATGACAACAGCACAAAGTTCATAATCNCAAAAAAAAAAAAAAAACCAATCAAAACTCAAATTTAATTCCAACTTTAACTCAACTCAAATATCGTCAATATTATCAATATAATTAAATAATATCAATCAATCATTCTTACGCATCACATCATTTAATTCACTATTCATCCACTCTTATAATTTTAACTAATCATCACTTCATCACTTTACTTATTTTATTTTAAATTATATTTTAATTTAAACTTAAATTCAAATTCCCACTAACAACTAATCATACAACCTTTTTTTAAAAAAAAAACCAATCAAATCCATATCCAATCACACCTTAAATTACCCAACACTGTCACCGAACAAGATAAATCAGCGAAAATATACACACATTATAAACAAATAAGGCAAAGTAAGAATTCAACGAGTTGGGAGGAGAAAGTACTGACCATCTAAGTCGAGCACTAAAGTTATCTGTTTGTTACTTTCCTTATTATTCGGCACTGGAACTGGAAATTCCATCTCCGGAAGATTTCTGATATACAATTGTGGATCAAGAGACTCGTGATCTTGGTAAGAGCAGGAATTCACTTGATAATCTGGGTCGCATGATCTTAATTGATGAATTGCCATATAAAAGCTGGAACTATTGGTTTTTGTTGAACATGTGACACCATTATCAAGTCCAGTATTATCTAAAGTATCCTCCAAAAAGGGCAACACCATATACTCCTCGGTCAGATCACAAAGTAAGCTGGACTCATCGAATGGATAATCAGGAAGAAAAATCGAATCTGTTCTGCTGCTGCAATAATCAGAATTGCCTCCGATTGGCGATGCAGAGAAAATCATGTCAGATATGTAGAAATCCGAGACATTGCTTGTTTGATATTTACAAGAATTTTTGCTGCTGTCATCACTGTCTTCGCTATCCAGCAGTGGTACATAGAGACTATCACTTCCTACAGTACAAAAGCACGAGTTTTGGTACTTATTATTAGCTTCATGGGCTAAAAATTAATTATACCTGATATAAAAAATTGTATCGGCTTGCAAACCGATAAATAATTATACATCATACCATCATTATTGCAGATTGACTCCAGAATGGGAGAGAAAATTGTCTCGATGTTTGATGTACAGGTCGGTAAGATAGGTTCCTGAAAGTACTTGAATAAAGTCATTAAGCGCACTGAATATATCCTTAATATTATCAATGTAATTAAATAATATCAACCAATTATTCTTACACATCACATCCAAGTTTAATTTACTATTCATCCACTCACATAATTTTAACTAATCATTATTTCACATCATCTCTCTCCTACTTTTACATTAAATCAATTTTAATTATTATTTTAATATAAACTCAAAATCCCACTGACAACCAACCATACAAGCTTTTTCAAAATCAACCATAGTTAACTAAAAAAACTCATTTTGAGCGGATATATATATATCCAAGCACGCCCTAAAGCCCCATATTATGAGTTGTTAAAACGATGATGCTCACCATATTCTCATTAGCAGACTCAATCACCCTTATTGGCTGCTCCTGAAGAAGTTTTTCTTCAGTTGATAACTCATGGATGGCCTCACCCACTTCGAGGTCCTGGGCATATATTTGGCCATAAACTGGAGCTGCGAAATAAATGAAATATGTGGAGCAATTAAATTTTATTCTAAACCAGTAAATTGCATATTAGCATGAATTATAGCACCGTGATTAAGATAAAATAGAAATAAAGAAGATATATGTTCGGTAAAGAGACAATATTTCCACTAGATATGAGTAAAGTTCAAATTTTGTTAACGAAACTTTTAAGCTCAATGCCATAGCTATCAAAATCATCTAGGTCAACCTCTAAAAGGTACCAAAAATTGTCAAACAACAAAACCGGCAACTATTTAAGTCACGCGGATTCAGATTTACCATCCTGATTGCAGTGAGCACAGATTTTTTCCACATTCTGAGACACTATAGCATGAGAGAGAGGATTCTTGGATATCATACTCGATCTTCGGCATACTTGCAGACCCTTTTTTTCTTTGAAACAGCCTGTGGTTGACTTGGTTTTCATTTTTAATGATGGCATTTGATCTGCACTTTTGATGACGAAAACAATATTGCATCAAAAGCACCAGTGGGGAAAGAAACCCCTCTGGGATATCAGATCAGCCACAGGAGACTGCAATTGATAACTTTTCGATAAGAATTATGCAACTGATAACTTTTCAGTAAGAATTATTACGTAAACAGACAGAGAAAGAAAAGAAGAAATTGTAACATGTAACTTAACCAAATTGGATGACTAATATCACAGAGATCTAAGATTTCCTATTTAATCAATGTTCTGCAATTTTTTGAAGCTAAACTCCCAAATCGTACAACACTGAGTCACAACAAAAGTTGTTGCACTTTTTAAAGAAGATAAATCCCTCACACAGCACATTATTTTCCCCTTTTTAGCAGATCGGACAGTACATTCATGAGAAAGCAAATTGGTTAAAGCAATCACATGAAAAGATAATCAAAAACGGGATAAAACCACAAAAATGGGAGAGACAAAAAAGATAGCTAATAATTCTCTCAGCAGTAAATCTAAATTGGAGTATTAAGCTTTGAGTAAAATCAATAAAATCCCAGTAATCAAAAACTCAAATTTCCCAGAGAAAGGAAAAAAATCAAAGAAAGCAACAAATCGACTCTGACAGATGGTACAATAATCTGACCCATAACCATCAAACAGAACCCACTCGAAAAACAATCAATTTTTCTCAACATAACCCCAAACAGGGCGAAAGTCAACTAAATTCAGCCACTTCCTTTGCAACCACAAACACAAAGTTCCAAATCGGCTAAATACAGGACAAAAACAAAAAGAATATATGAACAGACAAGAAATTCACCTCACCCAGCTATTGCGCTATTCTGAATTACAAAACCCTAAATCACAATCAAATATTCCATATTAATAGGTACAATTCACCCAATTTGCGCATACATACAGCTGAATTACGATTACCCTCGAAAACTAGCGAAAAAACAGAAACTTTTTTGAGTCAAACAACGAACGACTATCACATAGATGTCTGTCTACGAGTCTATGGATCCACAAAATCACTTCTGTTGTGGGTAGCATACCTGTGGAAATCCAAGCCCTCTCTCTCTAAAAAAGACGCGCTTTCTCTCTCTAGACTTTCCGATCCCTGTGGGTGAAATTTATAAAAACAGTGGTGTGCAGGCTGTAAAGACTGCTCCTTTCCCGATCCTCTACAGCCCGATTTCGCCTTATACCGTGCAGCCGTCGCCCGCAGGTTGTACCTCGCAAATCTATGTGCGATCTCACTTATTATTAGTTAGTAATGTACAACTCGAATAGCGATGGTGTGCGGGAAGTCGGCCACAGAGGATCGGGACCCGTGCTTAAAGCGAGTTTGTCTGCTGCTAACTAACGGCTGGGATTTAGAGCTGGGAAAGTCCGGGGGAAGACCACTCAGTAATCGACACGTGGGGTGTGGGACCCGCCAGCCTGACGTGAGGACACGTGCCTCGTGTGAAAAATGGCTGCGCTGCGAGGGGCTTGTGGAGCGTGCGCGACACGCGCCCTGGGGGTGTTGTGATTTTTTTATTTTTGGCCACTGAAACTGTGCCTAAACATCAGTTGGATGGTCCAAACTCCAAATCAATGTATTATGGTCGATTTTATTGAAAATAATATATGTGCAATTGAGGAAATAAACTAAAGAGATGATTTGTTCCTGACTTATGATCATAAGTTCATGAAAACAATTGAGATAAAAAGAAAAAGAAAAGGAATATAAGACCTCGTTCCAATGTACTTCAAGTTTGTAATGATGGAAATCAAGTTTTCAAAGAAGGTACCAAGTTTTATGTATCTAAAATGAAACATATTTTCTTCTTTGTCTTACCTTTCTATATCTTTTGATTATACATAATATTCTTAGGAATGCTTTTTGACATAAGTTTGCATGATATGATGAAAGTTCAAATTCGTTGGTCGTTTCCAAGGGCAAGTAAAATCGAACCGAAACCGTGCAACTCGATATTGTTCGATTTAATTATTTTAGTATAGAAACTTCCTATAAGTTATGTTACGGTTTTTNAGTGCAATTTCACAAAAATTGAATCCCATTGAATAGAGCATTCGAGCCACAAATCATGCAATTTGGTACAGTTCATTTTGGTTATTTAAAGTGCATAAATTTTTAGTTTGATTTCAATTGATTTCTTATATGTTTATTGTGGTTTTTTTGTCAGAACGATAGGGGTCATATATATTAAAAAACAAAGAGAACAACGTTCTCATTATAAGAGGGAAATCTCAACTCACTGAACAACAAACTGAGAGATGCTTAGAATAAGCACCTAGAACCTCAAAGACTCAAAACAACCTGGCAATAGAACACAATGAAGACAGAATCCATGATCCTACCCACTGCTGAAAAGCTTAGCTATGAGTCAAAGGATTCTAAGCTGAACACTAAAAAAGAAAAGACTGGAAAACAGAAAAAAACACCTAAAACACAGAAGAGAAATCCATCCAATCTTGAAGAGCAATTCTGATCACAATGTGCTCTGACATGAGGGAGTGCTGAAACACCCAAAGATTTCTGGACTTCCACCTTGATAGTTGGATTCTATCCTCAGCCACCTCTGTGTGCCTGATTGTACATAGTTGCTGTTGAAGTTCAAGCCAAGAAATCGTGCCATGACATGCAGCTGCTTCCTTTTTCATCTTTTTCATTTTATTTTGTTGTTTTTTGTTTGTTCAAACGCGTGTCTGCGTTTTTATTAGTTTGTTGCGTTTTTGTTATTTGAACTCATAGGTTACGACGTCGTTTTCCTTTATGAGGAACGACGCCGTTTTATTTCTGTTCTTGTCGTCTTGCATGAGAGTGTATATATATACACTCATTGTGTACGTACAGAGTGATTTTTGATTTCATGAGCTAAGAAAAGGGTTTTCCCCAAAATATCTAGTTTTGTTGATTTATGGATTCAACATGGTATCAGAGCACATAACTCGATCCTGGAAATTTCCTTGCTGAAATCGAATCGCGATTCAAGACGATGAGGCGAGAGGAAGCTTTTAATGCTGCTAATGGATCTGGCATGCGCAATGCAGCAGAATCGATCGATCATGGACCGCTATTCCTGCACGGTTCCGATCATCCGGGAATGATGTTAGTCTCAACTCAAATGAACGGAAACAACTTTCTCTCCTGGCGACGTTCGATGACCATTGCACTTGGTGCGAAAACAAAACTTGGATTTATCAATGGTGAGATTCCTGAACCAGACTTGAATGATCCTGAATATAAAGTATGGAAAAAGGTCGATTGGATGATTCTTTCATGGATTCTTAATTCATTGTCCAAGGAGATAGCTGAGTCATTTTTGTATGCTGAAAATTCAAAGGATTTGTGGGAGGACATTTGTCAACAGTATGGCGAAAGTAATGGTCCAATCAAATATAAACTGCTAAGAGAAATCAGCAGTTTAACTCAAGGTAACAGCACAGTAATGGAATATTTCAATAAGCTGAAACGGTTATGGGAAGAATATGGACACATTGTGCCAATACAAGCGTGTGGCTGCGAAAAAGGGAGGATAGTAGCACAGAATAATGCTGAGACCAAGCTAATTCAATTTCTTATGGGGCTAAATGAGAGCTACGATGTGCAGAAAAACCAAATAATGATGCTTGATCCCTTGCCTACTGTTAGTAAAGCGTATTCCATGGTTCTAACTGCAGAGAAGCAAAGATTAGTATCTAGTAGTTATGAAAGAGTGGACAATGTTGCCATGAATGTGAGATCAGAAACTTATGGCAGAGGACATGGTAATCAGGGAAGAATTCTAAGTGGAAGAGGAGGCTGGAATGGAGGCAAAGGCAGAGGAATGGGAAGGCTTAGTAAAGAGGAGAAAGCTAAACTGCAATGTGACAAATGTGGAATGAATGGACATACAGTGGCAACTTGCTTCAAAATACATGGAATCCCTGAGTGGTACAAAGACTATAAATCACAGCAGAATAAGCCATTTGCCAATTGCACTGAAGCCTATGAAGATAAGGATTGGTGGAAAGAAAAGGCTGAGAGCAGGAAAGAAACAAAGGAGAATGATCTCTCAATGGTAGTAAAACAGTTACAGGAAATAACAAAATATATCAAAGGGAAGGAAATAAGTGAGCAAAAAATAGATTATGCTCAAATGGTTAGCTTTGCTGGGAACAAAGAAGCTGAGGAAGTTCATTATGCCTTGACAACCTTCAGCAACATGAGCACAAAAGATTGGATCATTGACACAGGAGCAAGTAAGCATATGTGTGGAGATTTGGGAATGATGAAAAACACCTTTCACATGAAGGAACCTATTATGGTATGCTTACCAGATGGATCGCAAAAGAAAGTAGAAGTTGGTGGATTGGTTGTTATAAACAACAGCTTAGCTTTACAAGGAGTCTTATATGTTCCAGATTTCAAATATAACTTGATCTCAGTAAGCCAGTTGTGTATAGACTCAAAACTCAGGTGTTCTTTTTCAGCATCAGCATGTTACCTGGAGGATCAAGAAAGCGGCCAGTTGATAGGAGAAGGCACGCCAGTTGGAAATCTATATGTTCTTAATACAACAAACAAGAATGCTAAGCAAACAGCCAGCTGCAACCTCTCTCTTACTGAATGGCATCAATATTTGGGACATGCTAGCTATACCACCATGAAACATATTCCATTTCTGAAGGACTTATTCACTGAGAAGGATGAACATGAGGTTAAGGCATGTGAGATATGCTTCAAAGCCAAGCAACACAGGTTACCTTTCCAGCATAGCAGCATACAAACTTCAAGGTGTTTTGAACTTCTCCATGTGGATATATGGGGCCCTTGCAGAGAAGAAAGCTTAACAGGAACTCCTTTTTTCCTTACAGTGGTGGATGATTTTAGTAGAGGAATCTGGATTTTTCTGATGGGACACAAGTCACAAGCAGTCAAATTGCTGACACAATTTGTTCTCAAAATCAGTACACAGTTTGATACTTGTGTTAAGAAGGTGAGATCAGATAATGGGTTGGAGTTTATGGGGAAGGAATTACAGTCCTTTTTCCAAGGCAAAGGAATTCAGCATGAAACAACATGTGCCTACACACCACAACAAAATGGTGTGGTGGAAAGAAAGCATAGGCAACTATTGGAGATAGGAAGAGGACTTATGTTTCAAGCAAAGTTACCTATGAATTTTTGGCCATACTCAGTGATAACAGCAGCATTCATTATTAACCGGCTACCTACTGCTGTCCTAGATTGGCAATCACCATTTGAAAGGATGTACAATAAGCCAGTGGACTACACTCAGCTTAAACCATTTGGTTGCTTAGCTTATGCTGCCAAAGTGCACCCACACAAGTCTAAATATGAGCCAAGAGGAAGTAAATGCATTTATCTGGGAACTGCACCAGGAAAGAAGGGATTTCAATTGTATGATTTGGAGGAAAAGAGTTGTATAGTTGCCAGAGATGTGGTATTCTTTGAAAAATTATTTCCTTCTGTTACTAATGATCACAACAGCAATGTTCTGCCTCATAACATGGATGATGAAATAATGCCACATGCAGAACTAAATGAGTCTCATCATTCAGAGGCATCTGACTTGCCAGGAGAACATGTAAACAATGAGTTGAGGAGGGGGGTAAGAAGAAAGCATACACCTGGTTGGCAAAATGACTACATTTGTGGGACCAGCCAAACTTTGCAGATCAGACAGGATATGTACCCAGTCTGCAGTTACCCCTATATGAGTAAGGACAATAAAAGTGGTGCTGAGAAAGAGTTCTTGGCAAACATTTCCACTGAAAAGGAACCAAGTCACTTCAAAGAGGCAGTACTGCACCCTTCTTGGGTCGAAGCCATGAACAAGGAATTGGATGCTCTTGAGGAGAATCACACTTGGGTACTCACTGACTTACCAAAAGGGAAGAAGGCAATAGGTTCAAAATGGGTTTACAAAATAAAAAGGAAGGCTGATGGATCAGTAGAAAGATACAAAGCACGGCTTGTGGCAAAGGGATACAACCAAATTGAAGGAGTGAACTATTTTGATGTATTCTCACCTGTAGCTAGACTGGTGACTGTGAGATTCCTTATAGCTACTGCAGTACATAAGAATTGGATTCTACATCAGTTGGATGTTAACAATGCCTTCTTGCATGGATTTCTTTCAGAAGAAGTTTACATGGTTCCTCCACAGGGATATGACAAGGCATCTCCTGGACAAGTATGCAAATTAGTGAAAAGTCTTTATGGTCTTAAACAAGCCTCTAGAGAATGGAACCATGAGCTTTGCAAGAAACTGTCCTTGTTTGGTTTGATACAGTCTTCCTATGACCACTGCTTGTTCACATTACATAAAGCTGGTGAGTTTTTGGCACTGCTTGTCTATGTAGATGATGTCTTGGTGACTGGATCATCACAAGCCTTAATAACTGAACTCAAAGCTTTCTTAGATGCTCAATTCACTATTAAGGATCTTGGGGTTGCAAGATTTTTCCTTGGAGTTGAAATAGAATATGGACCAGAAGGGGTTACTCTAAGTCAAAGGAAGTATATTCTTGATATACTTGGGGATTTGAGCATGCTAGGATGTCCACCTGCTTCTTCACCTTTACCACTGGGGATTAGATTGGACAGGGAGTCAGGTTTACCTATGTCCCAACCAGAAATTTACAGGAGATTGATTGGAAGGCTCCTGTATCTTGGCTTAACTCGACCAGATGTGACTTATGCTGTTCAACAGCTTAGTCAGTTCATCAACAATCCTCATGACGATCATTGGACAGCAGCTTTGCATGTGGTGAGGTATCTGAAGTCTGTACCTTCACTAGGGTTGTTTTATTCACAGTGCACAGGACCTGTTACTCTTACTGCTTATTGTGATGCGGATTGGGCTACCTGTAAGGATACAAGGAGGTCAGTGACTGGTTACTGTATATTCCTTGGAGATTCCTTAATTTCTTGGAAAAGTAAGAAGCAAAACACTGTGTCTAAGTCATCTGCAGAGGCAGAGTACCGAGCCATGGGCTCCACAGTGACTGAACTCATTTGGATTGGTTATCTTGCTCAAGAGTTTGATGTGGCTATAAATTTTCCCATTCCACTTTGGTGTGACAATCATGCTGCCATGCACATCACGTCTAATCCAGTTTTTCATGAGAGAACTAAGCATTTGGAGATTGATTGCCATCTTGTTAGGGACAAATTCAAGCAAGGGTTCATTATGCCAAAATATGTGCCTTCACTTCACCAGCTTGCAGATTTGTTCACTAAAGTCATTGCTGGGGCACGGTTTCTTACATTGCTCGGCAAGTTGGGCATGACTACATCGCATCGAAGCCCAACTTGAGGGGAGGGTGTTGAAGTTCAAGCCAAGAAATCGTGCCATGACATGCAGCTGCTTCCTTTTTCATCTTTTTCATTTTATTTTGTTGTTTTTTGTTTGTTCAAACGCGTGTCTGCGTTTTTATTAGTTTGTTGCGTTTTTGTTATTTGAACTCATAGGTTACGACGTCGTTTTCCTTTATGAGGAACGACGCCGTTTTATTTCTGTTCTTGTCGTCTTGCATGAGAGTGTATATATATACACTCATTGTGTACGTACAGAGTGATTTTTGATTTCATGAGCTAAGAAAAGGGTTTTCCCCAAAATATCTAGTTTTGTTGATTTATGGATTCAACAGTTGCTGCCATCAGGCTGGAAAAGAACCAATTAATTGTTGAAGTCCATCCCACTGCGCAGGTGCTAAGTCCCACATTCTGACTGCCCTTGAACATGAGAAAAATATGTGCTCTATTGTTTCTGGATAGTCACCACAAAGTGTACACATCATATTCACATTCACCCCCCTCTTCATCAAGTTGAAGGCCACAGGTAAAGTATCAGTGTTTCACTTTGCTAGCTATTTTCATCTTCCAACATTTTGAGATAGCCTGGTAAAGTGACAATGAAGTTGAGCTGGTCCGAGGAATGTCCAGTTGCAGAAGCTTGCGGGCAGCAAAGAGTTTGTATGTGCTAGACACTAAGAAGTTGCCTTTCGTGTCTAGACACTGAGAAGTTACCTTTCGTGTCTGGAACCCAATATAATTTGTCTGCTCTGGCTGGGTTTAAAGACCTGATTTTGAGTATTGCTTCACTGTCAGAGGCATCAAAAACCTGCCTGACTAACCATTCATGTCACTGACCATCTAGTAGGAGCAGATCTTTAACCCAGATTAAGTGCCCTCTAGCAATGTCCATCTGAGTAGGGGAAGGTTTATTGTAGTTCAATTTGAAAATTTTTGAATTTTACTTTTTTGGATTGGTAAAATTTTGCAACCCACCAAAATATGTGATTTACTATATATCTTCCTTTTTTTTTTCGTTTGAGCTTTCAACATATACTAGGTTAATACATAATAACATTGTTGTAATCAGCTCACTAAGCTACATATAAAACTACTTTCCTCTAAGCATTGCATATAAACTAATGCAAAATCAAATTCTCCAACCACAAGATTTACTAATTATAGCACAAGTTTTGTTCATACAATGCACTAAACCACAACCAACCAAAACAATCAACCTTCAAAAACTCAAAACTTACCCAAAAAAGCTTAGACAAAAATTCAAGGTTGATTAGCCACAAACTCAGTTCCAACAAAGAACTATAAACAAATCTACAGTGCTATCAATCTCTTCACAACTTCCTCAAATCAAACATCGATTTCTACTTCTGCATCAGAAGCTACTTTTTTGTAGGAAAAAAAAAGGCTATCTCTCATCTGAACCATTTGCTTGGAGAGGTTGACTGTTCGAACTATAGGCACGAAGGTTTTCTTGCATGTTCTGCAAAAGTCAAATTAAAACACTAACTTCAAAAGGTGCTATAAATTACTTTCCATCCTAAAAAAAATTAATGATGGCTTTACTTTTTGAGGGATGTGTTTGCAACTCGACAACCACTTTTAAGGGAATAAAAACACCANCAAATGAGAAAAGGGAAAAATCCATGAAAAATGTTCAAAAGATGACCTTGAAGTCAATGGGCAAATAGAGAAAGTCGTAAGTCCCTCTGTGATGCTCATCGATAGCAGCCAGCAACATCTTGGAACTGTACCTAAAATAAGGAATAACGAATTAAAAGGTTAAAAGTGAATGGACTATTTGGTTCATCCCAAAACACATATATATATACATAATAAGGCTAAGTTGCATTTTTAGTTCTGCTGGTTAAACGTCATAGCAATTGTACTCTCAATATTCTAACATTTGGTCTTGTAATTTAGTATTTTTCCGCAATTTCAAGACAAGAACTGAAATTGCAACAAATTTCCAAATTTAAAGATTTTTTATTAGCAATTTAAGTACCTATAATTTAAAATTCTGTTACAATTTCAGTCCTATAGTTTAAAATTTTGTTGCAATTTCAGTCCTCAAAGTGCAGCAAAATATTAAATCACACAAAAGTTGAATTTGGGAGTAAAATTGCTATGACGTTAAACCAACAGGACTAAAAATGCATTTTCCCCATATATTAATAATTAAAAAAAAAAAAAAAAGATTTTACTTGTTGGGGATATTTTTTATCATGAGAGTCGTCCGAGTGTCTTCACCACTCTTAATCTTATCAAGATCGAGCTGAAATTGTTTCTTGTTATCCATTTGGGATCCCTTGCCTCCAAAATGCCTCGATTTTCGTTCGGCAAAACCCTCGATGCTAGGAAAAATTCCATTACTGAACAAAACAGGAGAACAATTTCCAACCGAGTTCCCGCCAAAAACGTGCTCACCGTAACTTCTTGATCCCACACTTCCATAACCGGGGCCCGCAAAAGACCCTTTGAGAGACTCTCGAATATAACTAAATTTCTGCTCGAGAGGAACGCCAGTCGGAGCTGACCCCACACGGTAATCGTGGTTTAGAAAATTGAAACCGTTATTATTTGAATTTGAATTTGAACTTCCCCAGATATGCTGTGGCCCGGCAAATAATGGTTTGGACGGTCCAAATGAAGAAACGGGTCCAGGCCCGCCAAACTGACTGCTTGGATAATGATGATCTGGCAACGAAAGGGATTGGTCCAAGATGACTCGGGAGTTCGAATTTCCGTTATTAGAAAATATATGATCCAAATAATGTCCGTTTGGGCTATCTTGGATCGTGGGTCCCACTTGGTTCAGAATTGAAGCTCGTCCAGGTAAACTGCTGCTAATTGGTGGGCTAATCGAACCAAAAACGGGTGATTTACTGTAGTTTTTCAAGGGGTTTCGCTCCATTGGGCTACCGTGTTGTGGCCAATTACCTGCCAAAATTCAAAAACGAGCTCGTGAAAAAAAAAATACAGGATAAAGTAACAAATATATTTTAGATATTTATAAATAGTACTTCATAGACATATAATTTTTACTGATTATTAGTTATTACGCACCTCATCAAGGGGGTTTCGAAAAATCTCAGGGGCATAATTGTAAAAATACCTGGGAGAGAATTCCCAAGCGGCGAACCCACGTGATACAAATTCCTTTCGTCTTGCTCAAGATCATTATTTGCTTGCAGCAGTGAACTGAAAGGCATACCGAAAAATATTAAAAATTATCATAACATCCATGAGCACGTTTATATCAGCTTTAGATTATTATTATTATATTATTATTATTTTCAAACTAAAAAAAAAAATATGTTGAATATTAATCGACAAAACCTTCTCCGAGCTCCACCGGGACGGCTAGGTTCGAGCTTAATACGTTTACCAGCAATATCAATCTTGTTCAAGGACTTAAGTGCAGCCTCAGCAGCTCTAACATCATAGAACTCAACAAATTTGTGGTGTCTCTTGTGGGGTGTCTCCCTTATCTGATATTTCCATCAAAAATATATAACAAGCTATTGTCGGATATTAAACGCACAAAGTTTTTCTTGGAAAAATAAGGCAAAATTGTATTTTTAATATTTTGGTCCCAAAGTTCCAACATTTCGCCTTTTGGTCCTCCAATTTAATATTTTGCTGCTATTTTGTCCTTTGAGGACTAAAATTGCAACAAAGTACCAAATTCTCACATTTTCGATTAGCAATTTAAGTCCTGTAATGTAAAATTTTATTTGCAGCAAAATATTAAATCACATGACCAAGGTAAAAAATTGGAACTTCGGGACTAAAATTGCTATAGCGTTAAACCAACGGGCTAAAATGCATTTTTGCCGAAAANAAAGATGGAAAACTCAGTACCTCTTTGACCTCGCCATAAGCCCCAAAAATTTGAAGAAGATCATCACTTGAAACCGAGTGGTCCAAATTAAATACTACCAAGGTACCTTGATTTACATCCTTATCAGATGGGTTTTCCTACAAACACGTGAAAAAAGCGAGAGAACTGTCAGTTGAACATACAAAGTACAAAGATGCCAAAAAGAAAAAGATTAAACAAGATGACACTTAAGATTTACCTAGTCACAAAACAACGCCGCTATTTATCAAATTTACACACATATCTCATTTGTTCTAACGATTTTAAAGATTTGCAAACCTTAGGAATCGAGAAGTGGATATCGAGCTTTCTCCTCCGGAGTGGCTTATTTTGCAAGGCACGCATTGCTGTTCGGGCAGCACGAATGTCATAGTAAGAGATCATCACAAAGCCTCTATGCTTACACGAAGTGTACAATGTTCTGATATCACCATATTGCTGAAGAGCAAAAGGAACCTCAATAAGCTATTTCATATCAATAAAATTCTAGCATTAAGAAAGGCACACAGAATGGAAGCTAACATTTAACAATAATTCTCTAAATTATATTTACTATTATTGTTATTAATTGGAGTGTGTGTTTTCTTGATAAATCCAAACCTTAGGGTGTGTTTGTTTATAAAATATTTCACTATTTTCGATATTAAGTAATACCAACTGATCATTCTTACACATTTCATCAACTTTAATTCACTGTTTGTCAACATTAATTATTTCATTTTAAATTTTATTTTAATATAAACTCAAAATCCAACTAATAACTAACCATACAAACTTTTTTCAAGATTAAACCTGGTTAACAAAAAAAAAAACTCATTTTGAGCAAATATATTTATATCCAAAACACGCTCTTAGTGGCAATTTATGTTATTATCAACATTTATCATTTGAAAGTACCTCAAAGAGAGATTTAATCTCCTCATCTTCAACGTTACTGTTAATATTGCGAACAAATAAAGTTCTCGAAGGATGCTCTCCAAGAGGATGTTCTCCAGCAACAGTCCCCAAACCACCGGGAAAATTCAATCGAGCCCCACCACCATCGGATAAATTCAGATTCGAAACACCAAATCTCACTAAATTTTCTTGCAGATCAGTTTCCAGTTCAAAGCCTCCTCCACTGCCAAAAAGATCATATTCTTCTGAGTCATCCACGAGCTTATAAACCATCCCAGCTAATAGTTCATCCTCATCTGGTAATAAGCTCTCAACCGCATAATTCTCATCATCGACAATAATTTTCTTGCTCTCCTCGCGGTTTAATTCATTGATGTTCACTGTTAACAAGCCAACAAAAAAAAAAATTATGAAATAAAAAGATTGTTCTAGAGAGGTAACTATAAAAAGTACTGCAAGTTTGAAGTATGCTCGTTGCTTACACTTTTCATGATAAGCGTTAGCTTGCAAAAACAGCTCCCGTGTGCTGTTTCCCATTTAGTTCGGATAAATTTGCTGAAGCCTTGAGAGAGCACCTAACAGGTTCAGTTTGTTCTATCAGGGACGGCAAAAATATATTTTCTTTTTTCAAATATTACCAGAAATGAAGTGTTTAGCTGATGTCAGAGCTCACACACAGTCATAAATGAAGGTAAACGGATATGAATAAAAAAATCGTCGCGCATTAACTGAGCGAATGGTTTGAAGGTGGACCCCACGTGGAACCAGGACAAGACCGAGTAAGACATTATAGGTAATTTGAAAAAAAAAAATACGAAATTTATTCATGTCTAAAGCATTAATGCAAGACAGGTTAGATTTCACAAGGCTGAGCCTCAAACCATAATTCTCTGGGAAAACCAAGAACAGTAATCAGGGGGCATTTAACTAAAAACAGAGGTCAAACTCTTCAATAAAGAACTGGATCAAAATTTTATAGCTATGCAAACACGTGTCTTTAAAGCAAACGAAATAGTTCACAATAAAAACAAACGAAATGATTGCATACGACACTGATCTAAGAAAAGTCATCAAATCTCAAGCAACCAAAACTATTAGATAATTTTCCCGATACATATTCTCTGCGAAAAACAAGGAAAATTTCTAAGTGAAAGTCAATGTTACCAAAGTACTGCAAGTACCTTGATTCTACAATCTCAGAACACAAAAGGCTATAACTAGTGACAAGCATAATACAAGTGTATCATATTTTTGGAGCTAAGTTTTAAATCGAATAAACGGAAATTAAAACGCGGCAAAGCATGACCCTTTTATTAATTTTTGTTCATCTTTGCAACACTTTCACTTGAATCAACAATGCATGACCCTTCTTCTTGACACTTTTGTTAACCAAACAGCACCGTGATTTATAGCTCAGGCCAATATATACCACAATAGATAAATATCAACATTGAAGAAGATAAAGTAAAACCCTACAAAGTACAATACTAAATTGCAAAAAAGCATGGCAGCGTACTAAAATCTTCTATAACAAGACATGCAAATCTTTGAGCTTTTCCACGTGAGCTAACCCCAAACAACCAAATTCCAGCCTAAAGCTCAAAACTTAGATGAAAACACAGTAGCTCAAAGCAAGACGACTACCTTAGCAGTTAGCATGAACCAATAAAGAATTATAACAACTCATCACCCAAATTCCAGCCTAGAGCTCAAAACTTCAGATTTTTTTTTAAAGAAAAAAAAAATTGTCATATGGTCAAATTCAAACATGAAACGGATTGAGATAAACCTAAAAAAAAAAGGTCAAAAAACTCAAAAAGTTGCAATTATTCTTGAAAAGAGAGAAAACCCATCTTTGAGATAACAACAAAAGATACACACAGAGAGAAAACACAAATCTAAAAAGAAAACAAGAAAAACGGACAGCACCTCAACAACGAGTCCTCCAATGGAAAACCCAATTCGCCGAGTGATTCAACAAACACCAATTTCTTCAACAAGTCTATACAGAGACGTGAACAGAAAGAACTCTGGGTTTTTTTGCCCTTTTTGCTCGTTCCCCCCTTTTCAAAACTCCAGTCAATTGATTCTCACAGATATGCACATAACACAGTAATAAATAGGCATTGAATGAGCGAGTAGGATTCAGAGGGCTGTGATAAAAAGCAAAGCAAACAGTAAATCAGGGAAAAAGAAAATTGGGGAGAAGTTAGAGGGGAAAGTGTGGGACAGATGATTTTGTTTCAATTTCAATTAAACTCCATTTAAATCCTGATTTGATATCCACGTGCAATTATGGAATTTTTATATGAGATGTGTTAAGCCAAATTAGCTCGGACATGTTTGGTAAAGAGTTAAAATTGATAAAAATCAGTTTTGATTTGTTTTTTTTTTTTTTNTCTTTTGATAGGCAGGTCTATCTAATACAAACGTTTTTTAAGAAAAATCATACTTAAAAAACAATATGTAGAAAAATACGATATAAAATAGTATATGTATGTATTTTTTTAAATATTATGATTAATCTACTCATCCAATGATTAAGTGTGTGTTTGGAAACACTTTTGAAATGGACTTCTTGACTTAAAAGCTCATTTGAATGATTTTAGGGTGTTTGGTGATTTATATTGAATGCACTTTTGAGAAAAGTCACTTCTTAATAAGTCTATTTTGGAGAAGTGAGAATTAGCTACTTCTGAAACCTACATCTGTTAATTATTTACTCCATTTTGAGTTGCATAAGATAATTTGTTTTCTTTATATAACATATTATTTGATTTTTTTTTTATGCTTGTTGATGAAGATATGGAACTTGATCTAAATGAAAATTTGCTTAAGAATATTGTGAAACCCAAGACTGTTTGGAATAGTGATGCTCACTAAGTGTTTGCTGAATTATGTTGTGAGCACATGTCCAAATGGAGGACATAAAAATTGGTCTAATATATTTTGCATAATTTTATTTCTTTTAAATCAATAATCATATAACATTATATGGTTAAATAATGACATAAAAAAATATTTTTTGAATATCATTTTGATAAAGGTAAAAAAAATATGAAAAACTTAATTAATAATATATTTAAATGGTTCATAGAAAATATATATGTCCAAGATCACCATAATATAATATTAAATCATATGTAGTAGGTAGAAAATTTTTATGTGTTAAAAAATATTATTATTTAGTAACTAAAACACTTATTTAAAATGAGATTCAGCAAACATATGTAAAAATTGTGTAAGGACTTTTGTAAATGCACTTAATAAAAAGTCTATTTTTAAGATGGACTTTTATAGAATAAGTGCTCCCAAACAAACCCTAAGTTTGTCTAACAAATTCTTGTGATCCATGATGAGGAAAAAATAAATAAATATATAATTATATATCTAACAAGAAGGAAAAAAATAAGAAAAATGTAACATCATAGATTGACATGAGCTTAGGATTTTCCTTTTTTCTATAAATTTGTCAAGGTGATTACGTGAACATGAGACCAAAAAAACAAAAAGAATCCATATTACGAGGATTAGAAGATGCGATGATAACTGGATAAGGTCAAGGTTTTGTTTTAAAATATTAAATAATAATTTGGTACATATTATTGGTGTGGTTCATTGACTAGTCATGGCAACATAACTTTTCAAGATAAAAAAATAGATAAACAAATAAATAAAATGGTTGTTTATGGAAATGCTTTTACTGCACAAATAGAAAAAAGGAATTATTATCAGAATCTATCTAAGGAAAATAATTGAACAGATGTAGCTGATTTGATGTGAGGGGGGAAAAATGGCGGCTTATGATGCCACGGTGACGTCTGAATTTCATGTCTTGATTATGATTAGACGAATAAAATTCACTCAATAAGATAATTGATAGTTGATAGTTTATAAATAATATTTAGTTTATAGTTAAAATGTTAGTTTATATGATAAAAGTATTTAGTAAAATTAACTGCTATGCTAGCACGAGCTTCCTTAAGAAGCTACCCAAAAACTTATGAGATAAGTTTAAACTTTTAAAAAAAAATTATTCATACCAAATAAAGCATATTTGCTTACAAAAATTTATAAGCTAACCAAGTAATTTATAAGATAACTTATTTGGTTATCAAACATAGCATTATCGCATATTTCATTATAATTTTTTTTTTTTAGTTTTTTTTTNAACTTCAAATTTAATTATTTTTTATTTTATAATTTTTGTGCCATATCATATTGTACTTTTATCGTGACATTTTATATATTTGTAGTTATGTCTTCTTAATTTCTTTTCTATTGATTGTTTATCAATGTCTCCTTTTATATATAAAACTACACCTTTGAAAAATGTGGTTTTTACTATATAAATCACGAAGATGAGAAATATTAATATAATGGTTTTTTTTTGAACGATAGAGATTTTATAAAATGCACAAATGTGCAAACAGAAAAACAACCCATAGTTAAATGATAACACTAACAGTTAGGAGACAGATCCAAAAATTGCCTAGAGCCTACACTAACAACACAAACACAACACCACACAAAAAAACACTACAAAGCTCCAATAATGGAGAATCACCGATCTCACCAAGATAATACCCGCTCTAACCAGGGCAAAACAAAGGTAAAAAACCCAAACAAAAAACACAACCCATAAACAAACAATTACACTGAAATAAAACAAACAAACTAAAACCAAGCCCTTCCACAACAGAACGACCGAACCATACCAGCAGACGAACAGTCGACCCCAAGGAGAAATCCGCAGCCTGAGAAACTGCTTTCGAAATTGTCGAAAATCGCTTAATCGAAGCCGAAACCCAAAGCCCCGAACCAAACCGAAAAGCCAACCCACCCCCCAGCCGAAGAAACACCAAACTCGCTCCCACACCACCACTACCCCGAACTGGCCAATACCACTAGCCAATTACGACAGCAGCGGTTCCCCCCAAACCCAACACCAGAGAATATAAAAGAAGAGGGCAAGATTGACGCCTCAACCCAACAGGATGAAGAGGAGTGTGACGACGAGAGAAAGGAAATGGGGAGAAAGGGAAAATAATTAGGGCTTTTGGTTCTATTTATTATACACTCAACAAGTTTAACATGATGGTTAAATAGAATAATGTGTAGTGGCAATATTATTATTTTAAAGAGGTAGTGATGTGATTATAAAAATAAGAGTACTTTGTTACTTGTATTATATTATAATTTATCTCTCTATCTATTATATTTATGTTAGATGACGCTCGCTTGTATACAAAATAATTCGTCCAAAATGAGATATTTTAGTTAATCAGAGTTCATTTTGAAAAATGTTATATATTTAGTTGTTAGTGTGATTTTAAGAATGTATTAAAATAATATTTAAAATAAAATAATTAAAATTGATTTGATGTAAAAAGTAGGAGCTAAATGATTAGAAATTATAGGTAGTTAAAATTATGTAAGTGGATGAATATTTAATTAAAGTTGATGTGATGTATATGAATGATTGGTTTGTATTAGTTATTATTTAATTATATGAATAATATTATAGATAGTGTGATTGAGTTAAAATTGAGTTAGATTTTGAGTATGAATTAAATGTAAGTGAAATAATTTATAAACAAGCATGCCCTAAATATGATTTGATGATGTCATGTTCAAATAATAATAATATTAGATAGGGTAATTGTTATTTTAGTACCTGTACTATAGAGTAATTGTGATTTTGGTACCTATTCTTTATTTATTGCGAAAATACAACCTGACCTTTACGTTTTTGCGAATTTGGTACCTTGTATTGACGTCGGTTACATTTTCCATCGACTTCATCTCGCGAGTCGCGACCTCATCTCGCGAATCGTGACTTTGGCTGACTACACTGCATGACTTTACGTTTCGGGCTCGTTTGGGCTCGTTCGAACTCGAAATTGAGTTCCGTTTTTTTCTATGCGTCGCAAACGAACCCCTCTATTCAATGATGCTTGATGGCCAAATTATTCTTGAAATACTATTCTCCCAAAGCTTATGACCAACACACCAAAGACGTGCTTCGCGCGACTTCGCGTTTTGGGCCCGTTCGAGCTCGTCCAAACTTGGAATTGAGTTTCGGTTTTCTCTACATGTCGCCAACGAACCCTTTTACTCAACTATGGTTGTCCGATCAATTTTTTGGCCAAATTTATTCCTCACGGGGCTTCGAACCTGCACACTAAAAACAAGAAGAAAAACAAAAAAAAAAAGGAGAAAAATAGTGAAAAAAAAAATAAGAAAAAAAAGTTAAAAAAAAAAGAAAGAATAAACACTTGCAAAAACACCATCACTACTAGTTCAAATTCTTCAAAAAGCTTAACGTTTGAATTGACCAAAAATTAAAAATTAGTAGTGATGGAGCTTTGGCAAGTGTTTGTTCCACTTTTTTTTACGTTTTTTCTTATTGTCTTGTCACTTTTTTCTCCCGTTTTAGGACTTTTCGTTGAGTTTTATTCGTTTTTGTAGTTTATTGTGTCGTGTGTTTTTTCGATTTTTCTTCTTGTTTTTAGAGTGCAGGTTGGAAGCCCTGTGAGGAATAGATTTAGCCAAAAAATTGACCGGACAACCATGATTGAGTAGAAGGGTTCGTTGGCGACATGTAAAAAAAAGCGAAACTCAATTCCAAGTTTGGACGAGCTCGAACTCAATTCAAACGTTAAGATTTTTAGAGAATTTGAACTAGTAGTGATGCAGTTTTGGCAAGTTTTTGTTCCATTTTTTTTTCTACGTTTCTTCCTATTGTTTTGTCACTATTTTTTCCCCGTTTTAGGACTTTTCGTTGGGTTTTATTCGTTTTTGTAGTTCATTGTGTCGTGTGTGTTTTTGGTTATTCTTCTTGTTTTTAGTGTGCATGTTCGAAGCCCCGTGAGGAATAGATTTGGCCCGAAAATTGACCGGGCAACCATGGTTGAGTAAAAGGGTTCGTTGGTGACATGTAGAAAAAAGCGAAACTCAATTCCAAGTTTGGACGAGCTCGAACCGCCCAAAACGCGAAGTCGCGCCGAAGCACGTCTTTGGTGTGCTGGTCATAAGCTTTGGGAGAATAGTATTTCAAGAATAATTTGACCATACAAGCATCATTGAATAGAGGAGTTCGTTGGCGACGCGTAGAAAAAAAACGAAATTCAATTCCGAGTTCGAAAGAGCCCAAACGAGCCCGAAACATAAAGTCATGCAGTGCAGTTAGCCAAAGTCGCGATTCGCGAGATGAAATCGACGAAAAATGTAACCGACGTCAATACTAGGTACCAAATTCGCAAAAACGTAAAGGTTAGGTTGTATTTTCGCAATAAATAAAGAATATGTACCAAAATCACAATTACCTCACAGTACAGATACTAAAATAACAATTACTCTCGTAGATATCATTCTTTAGTTTCAATGATGTTAGTTTTAGTGTCTTCCATCTCAGAGATTTCTATAATTTACTGCATCTAATCCATCATCACTATGAAATTATCTCGTTTTTGCCGCCATTCGATTTTTGTCAACTTGTCATCTTACACTCTCTTCCTTCCAAAAAATGATTAAACCAAACTAGCAATAATTGAGATGAGAAAAATGGCTAACAAAAAAATGATAATAATCACTATTTAGGTTTCGATTGAATGTTGAATCTTTGAAGAATATTTGCCTCACCAGAAAAATTAATAGTGATGACAAAGGTTAAAAAATTGGAGAAATGAGGATTTTTTTTTTCTTTTTTTTTTTTTCCAATTTTATGAACGGATATAATAGAGTTGTAATAAGTAAAGTTAAATAATATTATAGGCATATTATATTTTATTAGGATATGTATAATAATGACTGGTTTGTTTTTAAAATTGTATTGATTAAATCCATAAATAAAAAAAACGAAGTTAGAATAATATATTCATGTTGGGCCGATTAGATTATCGGACCGACCTTAGACAATGGGTCATGATCAAGCTAGAAATTGTATCAAATCTGGGCCACATGGAATTCCTGTGGTCAGTAAATGGGCTAAATAGAAGTAATAGGCCTGGCCCATTTATCCACCCTATGCCTAGTAGTTGCTGTCCAATCCTATCCATTATCAACAGCAAACTTGTACGTTATGAATCAAATGTTGGACTCTGATTTTTATCGCCATCAACCACAAAGGGTCGCTCATGTGCTTCAGCTATCTCTGTCTCTCTCAGCAAAACGCTAAAGCTATGCAAAGCTCTTCGATTCTTTGCTATTCTTCAAATCCCATTTCAACCCATCTGTATCTCTCAGGTCCTCACGCACTTGCGTTTTTCCACGGAAAAAATCAGTTAAATTCGAGGCATGTTGTTTCATTTTCCAGCAAATCACTACGGCCATTTCTACACAAACGCCCACAATCGCGCTTTGCTATCAAATCTTCTGGTAATACATTTTGGCAGTAATTACTGGTGCTAATAAATGGCTAATATTTTCTGATATTCCAGTTGGGTTATTATTATTTTTATTCTTTGCCTATAATGATTTTGTGGAATGCTGAAATTAGTTATAGTATTGTTGGATTTTTTGTTCTCTTTTTTGTACCAGTCGATTATGGGGTGCTTAGTTTCATGATAGTCGCCGTGTGATATTAGCGGCCTCAGCTTAGTAAGGCATATATTCTGCACTGTTATTGTTTGGATTGAATCTACAGAAATGTTAAAGATTTGTGGTAGACATATGAAAGCTGAAAGCTTTTTGGAAAGTGTTTGATGTTGAGTTTGTTTTCAACATGGTTTATATTACCTGAAATAGTTAAGATTCGATAATCGTGGTTATGTGGATGGTTGAGAGAGAGAGAGAGTTTGAAGAAGGAATTGTTTTGTTATTGGATTCCGTTAGAAAATTGTTGTGTTCTTATGTGTATCTTACACTTTCACTTTCAGCTACTCAAGAGATTGGTGAGACTACTTCATCAGCTTCAAGCTTTATTGAGACTGGTTACATTTTTGGTGTCCACGGGCTACAAGGAGAAGTTCGGGTAAAACCGAACACCGATTTTCCCGAACTGCGATTTTCCGAGGTAGATCAGTAAAAAGCAATAAAGATCCTAAACATAGTTTCATCAGCTATATATGCTGAATGAAAGTATTGAGAAAATAAAAGCGGGTAAATTTTCTCTCTAGCCAGGAACAAGATGGTTGAAGCAGCAGACAATGGGAATCGAGACTATTAAAGAAATCGAGCTGGTGGAGGGTCGAGGGCACCCTGGAAAAAATTGGATTGTAAAATTTAATGACATAAACACAGTAGAAGAGGTGTTCTGAGATAATTTTTTTTTTTTTTTTATTATTTATTAGTTTAGTTGATTGTAAATGCAGTCACACAGTTATGATGCTTAGCTCGTTTTTTCAACTCACAGGCACGAAAAATTGTTGGGGCAACTATATTGGTGACAGATGAAGATAGACCAGCCTTAGAGGAAGGCGAATTCTACACTCGCGACCTTATTGGAATGAGAGTTATTCTTAAGGTTCATGATTTTCGTACTTTTTTATTTTGATTTCTCTAATTTCTTTTCAGTTCCTGATTATTTTCCCTTTTTGTATTTATATTGAATTGGTTATTGTAGGAATCGGGAGAACCAGTAGGAACTGTTGTCAATGTTTTCAATAGTGGAGCAAGCGATCTTCTGCATGTGAAGCTGAGCTCAATGAGAAATATTGCTGATCAGAATGGAAAGTCAAATGTTGTAGAAGGTGATTCGGGTCAACTAGCGTGGGTCCCATTCGTTAAAGCAATTGTTCCTGTTGTTGATCGGGAAAAACGAGAAATGTTGATTACACCTCCAAAAGGGCTGTTAGAGTTAAATATTCGCTCGAATGACAGGAGCAAGAAAGAAAGGCGGGAGCTTGTGAGTTGACATACTCATTCCTAATTTTCGTTTTGTCAATTTTAAGTTTTTGCATGCTGTTTTTTTACTTGCTCGCGTTTTTTGACTTGCATTGAATATGCTAGATATTCTACTTATGGCATGCTCTATGCTGTGAAAAATGAAAAAAGAAGAAAAAAAAGTTGTATATGAAAAAAGCATTTTTTCTAATTTTAAGGTTATCTTTCATCAGTTACGATGCTGTTGTTATTACTAAAACTAGAAATGCTTCGATAGTATTAAACTATCAAACCATTTTCAAGGTGAACTCATATACAAAACTTAATCTTAGAACCTTTTGAGCCACTCTGATTTCTTGCCTTGATTTGATTTATCCTGATTGTATCTGTTGTTGCCTAAATCAGGAATGGAAAGAAAGAAAAAAGTTCCAAAGGCGCTTGATAGCATCTAAAAAGAAACTATCTGAAATAAAGCAGGAACATGTGTTTCACGGGTTTAGTCACGGGGAGAAAGATGAAAGGAGCTTGCTTGCGAATCAAATAATGACTGTAAATTCAAAATTGCTTCAACAGGCTCTACAAAGTATTGAGAACCCCTCTACAAGGTATAATAAACCTTATGAATATATGCATATTTAACAGGGGGTCATTCTGATACTGCTACTGGTATTTAAGGGAGTGATTTGATATGAATTTGATTGTNTTATTACATGGAGCAGAGAACAGGGGAGAGATTTTATTGCTAATGAAATGAATATTATGTCTTCACCCTATTGCAATTACTTTTAAAGAATCATGGGTGTGTAACTATTTATTAAAAAGTAAATTTGGAGTAACAAAATTTGCTTCTCTCGCATTATGCCCTATCATTGCTTTAAGAGGATGAGCTATTTTTTCTTGTTTTTTCAAATTTTAGAACCTTCGATCAGTAGTGTGATGTCTTGCATATATATTTGTCTATTAAGCAGGTTGAACTTGCGTGATGTTTTGAGTGCTGTGCCAAGATCAAACACTGTAAAAGTATCTAAAAGAAAAAAGCCGTCTGATCCATATTCCAAACTGCAACGAGAAGGATGCCTTTTGACTTCTAACGGAAAAACTGCCATGGTTTTAATGTTGGATGAAATTGAGAAAACTTCTGATGCCAACGAGGATCCATGTGTGCTTATAAAAGCAATACTTGAGGATGAGAATAGATTTGCTAAGGTAAAAAAGGAGAAGAATAGCTAAATGCTTAATGATGCTTTTTAAAGAAATCGTAATATGCTTGATTCTCATGATTGATTGTATTGAATAAATCATACTTAATTCATACAGAATACTTTAGCTGAAAGCAATTTCATGCAACTAATATTTGTCCAAATAACCTGAATCATTACAATCTTGCAGATTGAAGAACGTAAAACCGTGCCTCTTGTACTGGTCACTTCTTCTTGTTCGTCCAGCTCTCTGCAGGAATTCTTCCTCGATAATGACTACTTTGCATTTGATCCGAAAAAGGTACGTAATAATTGATTTTAGCTACGTGCATAATTTTTCGTGACCTTTTCTGTCATGTGTAGCACTGATCACATGCGAACATATTTTTATGAAGTTTGTTTTTTTCCTTGTGGAAGTGAAGTATTTTTCTATTCATTGTTATTTCTAATTCTATCTATTGAAATTTGGAAGTAAATACTCCTATTTTTATTCAAATTTTTTTGTAGTTAATTGCCGATTTAGTTGTGAACATGATATTGTATTGATCTAATTTTTCATAATTTAGTTACTTTTAGAAAATAAAATACAGATTTCTCATGGAGATGATTGATGACGAGTGAATCACATTTATATATAGTGCGCATTTTTTACTCACGATTTTTTTCATCGGTTTTCGTATCTTTTGGTAGGTCTGGTTTCTAGAAGATGGGAAGCTTCCAGTTGTCAGTAACACTTTTGGAGAGCATAAGATACTAATGAAGTCACCTTGGGAAATTCTCCAACGGCCAATCGGATCTAGAGGCTTGATTACCTTATTTTCACTCCAAGAGCCATTGTTAGATCAACTAAGTGAAATTGGCATCGAGTATATTGAGGTTAGCACGTAGAACTGTTCTTGGAAAGTTGAACAAACTTGAAGTTTAGCTCAATGACCAATATCCTTGTGAAACTTCTTATATTTTAGTTTGTGTTTGGTAAGCATATAAGCTAGCTTATAGCTTATTTGATTAGCTTGTAAGCTTCCTGTATTCAAATAAGTTTTGTTTGGTAAGCTTATCTCAGAAGCTCCTTGGGTAATATTTCAACTAAGTCCATTGATTTTTTTCTTTTTTTTTTTTTTATTTCAGCTAGCTTATCAACTAATTTTACCGAAACACTTTTATCATATAAGCTAGCTTTTCAGTCATAAGTCATAAGCTATCAGCTATAATCTCGAAATTCACTTAAAAACTATAAGCTACCTTATCAGTCAGATTTACCAAACATAGCTATAAACTACACATTAGGGGTTAATTTTTGCAATTTGCTCGTAAACACAACTGGAAGATTCTGGAGTTCGAAAAAAAAAACTCTCGTTTTCATTCATGAGACTCACCCAAGAATTGGAAGATCTCGAATTTTACCTGTCAGTCATATTTTTATCGATCAACTTAATTTTCTTCCACAGCTTTGCAAGGCCAATAGAAAACGTGAGGATGGGAATACACTTCTTGGACTCGTACGTTCATGCAAAGCAAATGTCGGGATACGACTTGTCAAAGGTCTCGCACATGAAGAAGATTTTCAAATGATATTCACCTGGAGATTCTTCCGAAAGTTGACAAAACGGATAAAAGAGGTTCGTTTTGAAGCCGTTAGCAGTTGTAATTCGTACGTCGAGAAAGTCGACGAGGATTGGGTCGATGTCATCCCCACGACTCCTAATTCGTACGAGTTTCGGTCTTCGATTTACAGCGTATTGGATACTGCGCATGTCGATAAGGTGTGTGTGTTGGATAGTAGAGATTGATTAGCTAGTAAGACTTTAACAATGTGAGGTTTTATTAGAATGGGTAGTACTTTTTTGTAATTAACTATTCCAATACTTGTACACTGTACCAAGGTTATATTTGTTGCTAGAGCTGTTAAATTAAATGAGTCGTTCGTGAGCTCGACTCCTTAAGGCTCAAGTTCGTCTCTGCTCGAGTGAGCTCGAGCTTGTTTAAAGCTTGTTCGGTTAACTAGCCGAACTTGGCTCAGCTTGATAAGGCTCGAAAAGATGATTTTGATGTATTTTTTTATAGTTTGACTCGATTTTGGCTCGTTAAGGTTGAACTCGGCTCGTTAATATTGATAAACGAGTCGAGCTTGAATTCGATTATAAGCTTGTTAAAATCTCGAGCTCGACTTAACTGCTGCTTATGTTTTTCACTTTTTCACTGTTAAGGGGACAAAAAATGTTTGTGATACAGTTAATCATAAATTAGTCTAATTTAATAATTTTCTGGTACTTGTAGCATGGGAAGAAAAAAAAGTTCACAATCCCAGCTAAACATTTCTGCATAATTTTTTTATTTATTTTTATTTTCACGGGGATGATAACTTTTTTCTCCAATTGCAGATAGCTTAGAAGAGTTTTTATATCATCTCGATGCTTTTCGTAAAACATAAATTATGGTGTTATGTGGAAGTCACTTCTTTATTACATTATTTTATTATATATAAAACTATATTTACAGAAAAGTGAAATAATGGACGTGAAACATGTAAATTTCATTGTGCGTTATAAATTTTACAAATAATGTGGCTCCAAATATACTAATTAATGAATCAAATATCACAACTAAAAAACGAAGTCATTGGCCATGTTTGTCAAATAATTGGTTGTATTAGCAGATAACATATTGGATTGTGATAGTTTATTTTTTTTTTTTTAATTGCAGAAACTGTTAAAGTTTACAAAATTTAAGTAAATGAAATTTATGATTCGTGAAATTTAAATTCCTAAAATAACACAAAAGTTTTGTAAGTCAATAAACGAGGTATTATGAATTTACTTCAAAATTGATTTAGGACTTTTGAGTTCATGATAAATTAAAACAAAATAAGTATAATACATCGAGTTTTAATAATTGGTTAGTGGACTCTCAAGTATTTTATTTTTCAACATTTTGGTACAAATTTTTAAAGCTGACTATTTGACTTATCAAGTTACATGAAATTGACAAATGAACTTATCAGATTTAAAACTCTAAAATGATTGAAAATTATTTTAAAACTCAATTAATGATATATTTTGAGACAGACTTTAAAATTACTCTAGAGTTATTGAAGCGAACAAAATATAAAATATGACGTACAAAACAATTTTAATTAATTGATAGTTGAAGTGTTTTTAATTTTTTTCCCTATGAAATCCATCCAATAGGAAAATGGAAATATCCATAATTTTGTATGCACCATCCCACATAACATACAGTACACCCTCATCTTTCACCGTTCATTTTCCTGTGGGCCTACAGATTCAAAAACCCTAATCGAAATCTGCCGGCGTCATGCTATATATAAGCCACTGACCTTAGGGCTCTTCACTCTCACCAAGGGGCGGCTAACCAGAACATAGAATTCCGAATTTCAGTGTAAGCAATCACTAAATCAGGCGTTTCGACTCAATTCCATTTCCTGTTGAAAAGTTCTTTTGTCTAATTAATTTGCCTATCGTTTTTTGTCTGCTTGCAGAAGGTGAGTAACAATGGCGGTGCCTCTTCTCGACAAGAAAATCATCAAGAAAAGAGTGAAGAAATTCAAGAGGCCGCAGAGCGACCGGTTTGTTTCTGTCAAGGTAATCTAATCTCATCTGATTTTTTTACTTTATTTTTTGGTCCTTTATCCTCTAGAAATTGCGTAATTATTACCTGAGCTGAGATAGTTTGTGAGGAAGATGATGATAGTAATTTTTGTCGCCCCAGGCTTAATTTGCATCTAACATGAGATGCAATGTGGTGATTGACATTTTATCTGATTCCTGTAGCGATTGTTTTGGTTTATTTATTTATTTTTAATTAATTCAAGTTTTTGCTACTTGTTTTGTGTTCATTGATAGTTTAGATGATTGAAAATAGTTTTCTGTAACTTGGGTTTGCAAGGAAGGTGTGATGATATTAACCCAACCACTTATTCTGTAATTGATGATGATTATAGATTCATGCACTACCATCTGATCTTCCTTGCTTCATTTTTATATCTTATAGATTTAGTAATAATTTCTCTATACTATATTGTTTGAATGATTTATAATTTTTATGCTTGAAATCTGGTTGTGCAATCTGTGATGCAATTTGTCAATATTGCTGATTTTCCAGTGATTATCACAATCTAAATCACCATCTTTCGGCTGAGATTGCCTACACATATAGTTTTTTTTTTGTGGGTCTTTTCAAAACATACAAAAGAATTATGCCCATGGTATCTAATGTCCAGGATTTTATGGGCTTTCTGGGCATTTCGTTTCAGGGCAGATATAAAACTCAGAAAACAGGCCTTGCGACACGGATAGCTTCACTTTTTATAAGCTTTCTGTTACTTTAATCCTGCTTACAAATCAAAATAAAAATATGGGATTTTTAATTGTGTTTGATTGATTCTTGCAGTGCTCTCTTCTCATTCAGTGACATCTTCAGAACAGTTATTTTGAACTTTGAACAGCTTAACTAATTGTTTATGTTATGTATTTAACAGGAAAACTGGCGTAGGCCTAAAGGTATTGACTCTCGGGTCCGGAGAAAGTTCAAGGGGTCCACATTGATGCCCAACATTGGATATGGGTCAGACAAGAAAACCCGGCATTATCTACCTAATGGCTTCAAGAAGTTTCTTGTTCACAACGTGAAGGAGCTCGAGCTGCTACTGATGCACAACAGGTTATTATCACCACCCCTTTACGACACTTTTTTGTTTGATGTCTAATGAAATAAAGTTCTGACTTATATTTTAATATCATGAAAATTGCTGGATATGATCCCTATACGAACACTTTGTTTATTATGCCTGATGAAATAAAATTTGACTTGTATTTTTAATATTTTGAAAATTACTGGATCAGGACTTACTACAGGTTATTATGATCCCTTTACCACACTTTGCTTTTGATGTCTAATGAAATAAAGTTTTTAGACTTGTATTCTAATATATTGAAAATTGCTGGGTTAGGACTTACTGTGCTGAAATTGCTCACAATATATCTACAAGAAAGAGGAAAGAGATTGTGGAGCGTGCAGCTCAGCTTGATGTTGCTGTCACTAACAAGCTCGCCAGGCTTCGTAGCCAAGAAGATGAATGAGCTATTTTTCGTTCTTTTTTNGGATGATATTTCGAATTCGATGCTTGAAATCTATGTGATGAGATATTTCTATGATGATCCTTGCCTTTGGATATTGTTATATTTTGTTGAATACATTTGAGGTGGTTTTGTTTTTACATTTATTTGGTAGCTATCTGACTGTACACATTTTAGGGTTGATTTCTTGGTAATCTTGAATTTTCTTTGATCTTGTGAAAATGGGATCACTCTTAATGAGCTACAATAATCAACAAATGATTTTAGAATACCTTAAATAAAAATAAAATTAAGAAACTTAAAGCGGTTTAATAAAACAATGTAAAGATTTAAAATGAAATTGAATATTTTGCTTATTCATTCGTTGGTTGGAGAAAAGCTCTTATTAAGCTGCTCATAATATTCTTTTCTTTTTTTTGTTGTGTGTGTCGTAATAACTTATTTTTATCACCCGTTAAAAACCTGGCATTACCCTTTGGAGAAAATGGAACCTTGAATTTTTTATTTTAAAAAAAAGGGCAAGGAACATGAAATAGGACAAGTATCTCATTAAATAAATCATTGTAAGGGCAAAAAGGCTTCAAAAAATAAATAAATTCTGGAGTGGAGACTTGTTAATGCGGTAAAGAGATCTCTCTACAATATCAAAATTGCTTAAAAAAACATATCAAGTTTCTCATTTTATGAAAGGAGATTTTATTTTCTTTCGACTTTCTTGCTTTCATTATGCATCAACATGGCCTTTTCATAGTATAATGATCTCATTACTTCTATTAAACTTGGGAAAAAAAAAAGTAAGATTCTGCGAAAATTGTATTCAAATTTCAAACCTCACAGGATGAGGATATTATCTTTTCCTGCCCTGAACACAAAGCATCTACCCTTTCACAACCCCAAAGAAAAAAACTTTTTGCAACATTCAACCTTGCAAGAAAAGAACCAAACCTCAATGCTTATAAGCTATAAACACTCTTCAAATCTGCGAAAGAGCACGTCAAAACGTGCAAAAAAACCTCCATCGAAATTCACCTGTCCGGCACAAAAAAACAATGGCTGGAGAGAATTTGAAACCCATAGCTGGGCTACTTTTGGTTCTAAACTTGTGCATGTACACAACAGTTTTGGGTATTGGCAGCTGGGCGATTAATCGAGCCATTAACCACGGTTTCATTATCGGTACATATAACAGTTTTTGTTCACATTTTCTTGATTTTTGCATTCTACATGCATTGCCTATAACCCGAGCGTGTTAATATTGACAAAAATGCATCCTTAGTCATGTTGGTTTAACGTCATAGCAATTTTATTCTCAATATTCCAACTTTTCGGCTTTTGGTCCTGCGATTTAATATTTTGCTGCAATTTCAGTCAAGAATTGAAATTGCAACAAAATTTGTTAATCGAAAATTTGGAGATTTGGGAACTTGTTTCAATTTCAGTGCTCAAATGGCTAAAATTGCAGCAAAATATTAAATCACATGATCAAAAAATGAAATGTTAAAACCTTGGGACTATAATTGTTGTGACATTAAACGGTCAAGACTGAAAATGCAATTTTGCCAAACTAAAAGTCTAAAGTACGTAAAAAGTTGATTTTTCAACTTTTGTAATAATTGTTCTTTATTTTTATCCAGGTCCGGGATTTGATCTGCCGGAGCATTTTTCACCTATACATTTTCCGATGGGTAACGCAGCCACTGGATTTTTCGTGTTATATGCACTTATAGCTGGCGTGGTTGGTGTAGCATCGGCAATTTCGGGTTTGAATCATATTCGCCATTGGGATCGTGAAAGTTTGCCGGCTGCCACATCAGCTGCCAACATGGCATGGAGCCTTACTCTTTTGGCCACGGGGTAAAAATAAAATTGCTTGTTCTTACATATTTACTAGAAGTATAGAACTACCCCCCTAATATTTAGCTTATTTACGGAAAGCTTCATTTTCGCACGTTGCAAATGCCAACCGTTCGAAAATAAAAGGAGTATTTTGTAGTTCTGAAAACTTCAGGGGCCATTTTGTTATATAACTATTCCTGATTAAGTTTACACACTGAATAACTTGTATTTTTGAAGGTTTGCTTGGAAAGAAATCAATTTGTACACCAGAAATGCTCGTCTGGTGAGCTTAACACAATCTTTTATCTGTCGACTGAATTTTCCGAAAACACTGTATGCATCTTTTTCCTTTATTTATTTATTTATTTTTTTATGTTGTGCAGAGAACAATGGAAGCATTCATTATAATCCTTTCTGCAACTCAATTATTTTACATAGCAGCCATTCATGGTGCTTCATCAAGGAGAAGAACCTGAGAGTATTCAGATGAAAATCTTGAAAAAAAAAAAAAATAGCGAGTGATTGTGTGTTTGTGATGGGTTTCTTTGTACTATAAAATTTCATTTGCTTAATCAGTTTTCTTTGTTCATGTAAAATTCCAAATGTTTTGGGATTATTATTGTAGGATATTGTTCTGTGTGTGAATTGAGTACAAAATCTGATTGCTTTTGCAGAGAACTGTGAAAACACAACAGAAAAATGGAAAACGATTAAGTATATAATAAGATAGAACTAATAGACTTGAAGAAGAAATCTCGGTTTTTTATCGAGCAGCATTACCAAATCTAAAGGGACTATTGCATAATATTCCACAAGGAATTCTTTAACAGTCACACCGCTAAATCGAAGAGAAAACAAATACGATTAAAAACGAACTAAATATAAATACGGTAACTCCATGAAATCAGCCAATTTGCCTGGGTTGAAGTATATGTTCATAAGCTTCTCTATTCAATTCTTCTCCAGCAGCTCGACTGAAATCAAATCACATCCCCTGCAAAATGGCAAATAAATTCGAAACCCGATTCAGTATGATGTAAGAGATTAAAATGAATATTAATTATTAGACACATTACTGATGAATTGCAAATTAGTTTCCACATTGTGTGTTTAAATGGGAGAACTCTGTAAATTCCATCCACTAAAAAAAATAAAAAAATCCAGCTCCAAGTATATTATTGCGCTCGGTAGAATTTAAAAAATCGAACCTTTGAACCAGAGTTTAAATCGTAACATAGAATTTCAGAATCACAACAAAGTAAAAAAACATGTTTCAATGTATATATATCAAACCTTGCCAAATCCAAGAATAGAAATCAAACTTATTTCTGTATACAATTCATGAACAAGCAAAATCATTAAAGACACTTGGAAACATTTAGCAGAAGCAAAATAACCTTTTTGAATTTATCTTCCAGACCCTGAAAACACTTCAAACAGTCCACAACAACTTTTCCATGATGTCTTTTGCACTGGAGATGGAACAGGGGCAGCAAGCAAAGGCTGCATATTTTTTTCCCCGATAACCAAGGAAAAACACACAGATAAATATATAACAGATNAAAAAAAAAAAAAAAAAAAATAAAAGAGAGAAAAAAGAGTACACCTGAGTCACTGCAGAACCTTTCTCATTTCCTGATTCTTTAGCAGCTGTATCTATCAGAACATTAAGAGGAAAATCAGTAGAAATCTTCTCAATAGATTGATCTATTAACGATGCACCAATTTTATCTTCAACAGAGGCAACTTTCACTTGATCATCCAATTGCTGAACTTTCTCCGAGTGAACAGATGGTATAATTTTCACCTCCTCAACATTTACACTCTGAATATTCTCGGTTTTTTTCCCGGATAAAGGCTCAGCAGAATCAGAAACCAAAGAAGAATCATCCTCTGCAGCTAGACCATTGTTGTTACCATGACCCTCATCATCCGAACTGCTCCCACTGCTAGTCGAGCTTCCTCCACTGTGGGATTTTCCTGTTTCAATCTCATCGTGCCCAATCTTGAACTCTCTTTCAATCTGAACGGGTTTTTCGTTAGCTTTCTTCTGAATCTCTTCTAGCTTAACCTCGGTTGAAGGGTTATGGTGGTCCTGAGATGCAGGTGAGCTAACCTCACTAACATCGTTGTCTCTTTCTTCATTGTGCTTCACCACATCCTCTTCACCTACCACATTTTTCATTTATTTCGGATTAAATGCCAAATTAAAAACATCATAAATCAGAAATTAGTCACCTAATTTACGAATCCAAAGGGTACTCAAGTTCAAATACATATCAACTAAGTCCAAAATCAGCATCATACATAATCAAAAACTCAAAACTCAAATCTAAACACTCAACAAGATGTAAAGATTCAAAATTTCTGCATTAGTGAAGCATTATCTCACTACCCTTGCCAAAAACGCGCAGATAATAATTAAAATACACGCTAACAAGTATTCAAAATCCAAAATTTCTATGTTCACGCATAAGACCCAAGCTAGATAATTTGCACAAACACTAAAAGCTCATCCAAACAGAGCAAACGATACAGCACGAAAGCAGATGACAAGTGAAAAAATGATGCCAAATTTTGAAAAACCAATAAATGAAAAGCGGAATCATAAGAAGACCAACTGCAGAGTTCCACATAAAAATGAAAGGAAAAACTGGGCCGATACGTATTAGCTTTGAAATCAACCATGGAAATTGGAAACCCTTCTCTCCATATTCAAACATCGCTTAAAAGATTCATACCAACTGGGCGTGCAGAATCAGATTGAATATCCATCTTCTTCTTGGCAGATTTTCGCTTCTTGGAACCTTTAGGCATGATGATTGATTGGTTTGAAACACTTCAGTATTTCACTCACACGGGTTAATCGAGTCCCGTTTGCTGAAATCTCTCGATTCTCTCTTTCTTTCCGACTTTATCTCACAACTGTGCTCGTTTTTCTCTCTCTAGCTTGGCTGCTTTTTCGACTGCTGTCAGTCAAGTGAAAATGGGGTATTGGTTGGTTGATTTCCTAAAAATGATATAAATAAGACAAAACAAAGGGTAAGTTGGCATCATTCTTATTTTTTAATTATTATTTGAATAAATAATATAAAATTACCAAATAATCATTTATTTATAACCCTATATGGTAGGGTGATAAAATTTTCATTTTGGATACTATAATAAGGTTAAGAAATTTATTATCTGGTGTGTGATATTTGAAATAGGCAAATAATTGTTAATTTTGGGTCAAAGAAAAATGGTACAAGGTTTAGTGATTGGATCCATAGTTACTATATTCTAAATAATATTAATTTCAGATCTTCTGATGTGAATAATAACTAGTATTCGACCTGTGCATTTGCACAGATATAACTAAATTATTGTGAGTCTATACATATAATGATTAATTATTTTTCTTTCACTTTTTTGCAGATCAAATTTACAATTAAAAGAGTTGAAATATTTTTTTTTTTAAATTGCGTTTATCTGATTAGATGTAATGTATATTTTGGTACGTCTTTTATTTATGAATTATTTATTATTTATTTAAAAATTTTAAATATATTTTTTATTTAAAAAAAAATTAAATGTAACAACAATAATAACATCTAATCACATTATACGGTCAACACATTATATGGTCAACTGTCATTAATCAAAAGTTTAAAATGATTTTTGTAATTTTGAAGTGATGAGTATTAATTATTTAATGATTAAATGAAAGATTAAATACATCAAAATGTAACGGTTTTTGGAGGGAAAATTGTTAAATTGCCACATAGGTAAAATTAAATAAGTTTTATTAAATTCTATTAGCTAGTAATTATATATATATAGATTTAGGATATAAAATAATATTATACACATTATATACGAAAATGAAAAAATAACAGTATAATTAGTCTGTGTATTGTGGCATGAATCGTCTGATAGGTCAATTCGAAGCTTCAATAGGCTCGAGTGAGTTATTTGAATCTGTTAACAAGCAATCACCGTCATATAGGTTTATATTGTAGAAATAAATCTATGTTTCTATTTTTATGGTGTAAAGTTCTTATGACAAAATACAATTTAGGTGTAAATTCTATGTATAAATTTCTTTTTATTGTGAATGTGTATGTATATAAATGTGTTTGAAGTTCTTGTTTAAAAGCCTATAAAAAAAATGGACTCACGAGTAATGTTATTTTTATGCTTTATTTGAAATTATAGACCAATTTCATATTTTCTTATAATAAAGCCATATAAAGGGGAATGTTTTATCATTTATTGAGGAGGAAATTGGGCAGGTAGAGGAAGTGGTGTGAACAACGCCATGTTATTGTATAAGACTTTTCACTTTTGTATAATTATGACAAGTGTATTTGCAATTAATTATCCTAGTAACTTCTTGAAATAGATAGCACAATCAATAATATTCAGAGTATTAATCAATTGTACAATACATCAATGCGTAATATTCAGAGTATTAATTAAAGAGTTCAATAATAACCCCACTTAAATAATACTCCCTCCATTTTGAAATATAAGACGTATAAAGATTTCTCATTTTTTTTGAAATATAAGGCGCGCTCAAAAATCAAGACAAATTTTTGCATTTTTTTCCAAATATACCCTCATTGTGTTGAAATTAAGGAAGTGTGGAGTGGTTGTGATTAGAGTAAATAAGGTTAATTTAGTCAATTTATTCATTAATTAATGTCTCCTTAATATTTGTGCAATAACCTTAAATGCCTTATATTTCAAAATGGAGGGAGTATCTCACTAAATTGTGATGATTTTTCGCCTTCTGCATTTTAGTAACTATCGTTGTTTTTTATGGTTAGTTCGTGTATTTAAGTTGTAACGTCCATAATATTCATTAGTTGTATGTGAATTATTTGTTCAAAGTTATATTTCACTAGTAATCATAATGCGCACACAAATTAAATTAAATACTACTAGTTTAAGTTATATGGTGAATATAATATTAAAAATTAAAAATTATATAATCTATGTATTTATTATTATTATTATTATTGCAACAATTGTTTCTAAGATTTTAAGGTGACTTGACTATATTATTAAAACTAATTAGCTATTTTTATTTAAGAAAATCGTTTCATGAAATAAAATAAATATATAAAAAATTATAATAATGACTTAAGAATAAAAGGCATGAAGTAACAAATTTGCGATAGACTTTTTAATACTTATGTAATTTATATATAGCATTTAGTGTGAATTAATATTAGTATTAGCTATTATATAATATAACAATAAAGTGTATATAATTTCACTTAATTATAATGATTGTAATGATGTTCTACTATAAGTAACTATAACTAGAAAATTGGTGGAAAACATTACTAGTAGGTGGATTAATGTAATAAGAAAAAATAAATACTAATGATATATGTTTGTAACCGAAAATGAAGGGAATACCCAAATAATTTTATTAAAAAATTTGCCTACAATTATAATATATATAATATATATATATATATATAATCATTATTTTTAAGAATGACCGAAATCTATGTATTGATAAAAAATGATTTATTGGAACGGTCTGGTTGCCAGAGAATTAGTCAAAATCAACAGGTTCGAACGATTAAAATAATTTATTTAAATAAGTTTAAATATATTTACAAATATTTGAAATAGAAATAAAAAATATATATTTAAATATAATGAATAAATATGAATGATTTTAGTATAAGTATTTTGAAATTTTAAATTGTCCAAGCTCAAGATCACAGAAGGTCGCTCCTTAGACGGTCCATCTGCTTATCGTTGGGGTTGCCGATCACTCACAAGTATCTCTTGAGGCCGTTTGTCGATCACTCCTACCGCATGTGCTCGTTTTGAAAAAGCTGACAGCACCGCCCAACGCATCACATCACCTTTTGCATGAATCCATGCGGCGCCACCCTACGCCCTATGTTATCAGAAGGCCCATACTGCTGACACCCTAATTTTGACTATAAAATTAGTCCTCCTCTAGAGATTGTTCGCTAATTATTTTCGCTAACCGCAAGTGTATGGTATAGCTATAGGTAGTGGCGAGCAAGGTCGTATTCCACAGAGATTGAAATTAAATTAATTAAGTACTAAAATAATGACAATTAAATATTATTTAGACTAACAAACTGGGATGATAATTATAAACTAAGAGTTAAACTAGAAACTAATTTATCTAAAAAAATAAAAATAAAATAAGATACAAAAGATAGATTCTAGGCTAAGCGTTCCTCGGAATTAATTCATGAAACGTTTATATTCAAACAAACCTTATTTAGTTTTACCTATCGTAGAGATAATCGCTAAATTGATTTCAAACCTTTCTCTCGAACAAGTTAAATCGTAGATATTAATTGTTATCTATCTCCTCTCGGTCTCAAGATGAACAACCAACTCCCATAAGCTCCTAAGATTTTCGTTCTTTCGCAAGGTCCTATCAACCTCTCGGTCTGTTTATTCTCTTACGTTATAAATCTCCCAATTCTAGCAATCAATTATCTCCTCTCGGTCTCAAATCAATCACAAATATGCATTCATAGTGGCCATCTACTCACACAATAATAATAAGCACAAGAAATTTATAAACGAAAGATAAACCGGAATGAAAGAAATAAAAACTAAATCATAAATCAATCCGAGTACTAACAAATCCTAGAATCTAAGATAAATCTAGCCTAGAAATATGCTTTCAAAATAAGAAAAATAAATATAAAACATTGAGTTTGAAAGACGAAAAGAAAAAGAAAGAAAAAGCTTATTCGGCTCCGTCGATCATTTCTTCCCGGCTTTCTCCCTCGTCTTGCTCGTGTTTCTAGCCTCCAAAGGTCTTCAAAGATGTGAAAAATATGTATTCTCCTCCTCAAAAACGTGTCCAAGGGTTGTATATATAGTTGAGGTCGAGTCCTAGTCGAAATATGTCGAAAAACTAGTCAAAATAGGAAAAATGCGTAAAAGCCGATTTTGTTGCGTCCAGGGTCACACGACTCGTGTCATTGGCCACGAGTCGTGTGAAAAAGTCGAGAGCTCAATTAGCGACCCGTTGGAGCGACACGAGCAGTGTCTCGGGCTCACACGACCCGTGTGAACCTGGGAGGGTTAAACTCCATTTTCGCGGCTGTTCTCAGATCCTGACGTGTTCTACGGGTTCTCAGGCATCACCTGATGGTCTTACATGGCGTCCAGGCGGTCGGAAAACGTCACGGTGGCCGGCCACGCGAGCTCCGGTGAAATTCCGGCCGCGAGCTTCTTCTCTGGCGATAACTCGATCTTCAGACGGCTACTACGGCGAAATGATGGCAGCGGCGGTCGGAAAAGTGGTCTCAGGTGACTAGGTAGCGGCGTGGTGGCTGGCTGCGAAGCTTCTGGCGTGCGACAATGGCGGATGGTTTGCTGCGTGCATTCCTTGCGAAGAAGATGAGCTTTTCCATGTCCAGAAATTACCATACTGCCATTACTTGCATTATTGAGTTGGGCTGAATTTATAAGCCTTAATGGGCTAGTTGGATGGCCCGTCTGAGAAAATAAAATGGTCCTGCTGCATATTTTTTGCGGGCTGTGTAACTGAGCTTGTCTCAATTCATGGTTCGCACTCCCTTTATGTCCGTGTCACGCTGTTTTCGACTCTAAAATTATATCGACCCTATTTCTTGTCAAAACTCAAATAAAAAACCTCATCATAGCTTAATAAAATTAATTAAATAAATAATTAATTATATGATAACTAATTAAACAATAACTAATTATACATCAAACTATGACGAAACGGGCACGAAAATCACTATAAAATGCACGTAAATATGACGCATGTCAGAGATCAGGGGCATGTCGAGAAATGGGATGATCAAAGAGGCCAAGTCTAGAAAGAGCATCCTCACTGCCCCTTATACATCTTAAAAAATAAAGTCTAGTCGATCGACTTCTTTTATTTTAAGACCATGAGCCACACCTGTAAACATATTCATCAATAAAATAGGCTTGGAGATCTAAATCTCCTTGCTGCGTCCATTTTTCGGTCGACAAAATCGGTATCTGCTTTCCAAAATTTTCTTTATTCCGTTACTGATTTAATTCTTTAAGACTGTTACCTTATCAAATAACCCTCAATTTTGTTGCCTTAAAATACGCATATCTCATAATCGTTGACGGCCAACCGCAACACACACACACACACACACATATATATATGTATATATATATATATACATAAATATTTTTATGAATTGAATACCGATCCAACCGGTTCAACCATTGGCCCGACGAATGAGGTGACCGATTTCATAATCGTGAATCCTCGAATAAATTACTAATGGATTTAAAATATAGGTATATTTTTAACCCATTAATTTTTAATCTTTATTTTTAATATTGTGGATCTCGATCACTAAAAATTGTTAATTGATAATTGGTTATCTTACACAAACTATCTAAAGGAGAGTATTCGTTTGAAATTTCTAAAAACTTTTTAAGACTTTAAAAATCACGATGCATTTAATTTAGAGTTTTTAAACTTTTAAAAGTTTGGAGCTATTCATTTCAGATTTTAAAAATTATTACAAAATTCTGAAATATTTAACTTCTTTGAGATTATGATTTGTTAAACTTTTTAAGATTTTCTCGGATTTCAAAAAAAAAAAACATATACGAAATCTCACCTAAAATCTTTTAATGTTTTATAGAATTTCTCATAAATCTAAAAATTTTAAAAAGTCTCATATCTAAAAAAAGTCTCAAAGTCAATTAAAATATCAGACTAATATACCCTCAATCTAGATTGGATGTGGATTATGGACTGGGCTCCGCCGAGTCCCGCATAGTGCAAAAGCCCACGCTTGGCTTATTAAGCCCACGTAAAGTCATCCCATCATGGCCCTAAACCTTCTAAACTAGTGAAGTATCACTTGGAAGAAATGACACCGTGTGGATATATATGTCTTTTAGCCAACTTGCAAACAACGGGGTGGGCCGGAATTTTTTTAGACCCGCTTGATATCGGGCCTCGGGCTAACCCGCGGGTTGCATCGTTAATTATTAAAAAAAAAACATAAATATAAATAGTCCGTCTCTCACTTTCACTCTCCCAGATAGAACAAAGCGTGCCCTCATCCTCAAAGCCCAAGCCCGAAATCAACCGCCCGTCGCCAGTCGCCAGTCGCCGCCCGCCGCCTCCGGATATTCACACTTCGCCCAAGACCTTTCAGACGACTCTCTACGGTCCTCATTCCTCAATACGAGCTTCCCGGCGGCCTGCAAGGTAACTCTGTGTCATTCCTCAATATGAGCTCCCTCTGTTTTAAACAGCAAATCAAAACATATCCTTAGTATATTTATGAATTTGTGATTTTTTTGATGTTATTTGTGTTTAGCAGGCTGTAATTTGTGTTGAAATTGGTTGAGTTGTGAATTTGGCAATTGGGAATTGGGAGCAATTTTATTTTTTTCCTACAGGTTTCTTTTTGGCTACAGTTTTTTGCCCACAGAGCTTGCCTTATTTTTTTGCAGCAATTTGTCCTACATATTTCTCACATTGCAGTTGTAATAGATCATTTTTTTAACCCTAATCTAACCTCCAATTGCAGTTGTTGCATTATATTCTATTCCCGATTGCACGGTGTCATCAGTTGATTTTGAGATGGCCATAACTTCTGCAGTAGCTTCACCACCCCCTCTCATTTGCTCCCGCCACCACACACACTCATTTCCCTCTTTAATTTCTCAAATCGGAAAGGTGATTTTCTTAATTATTTAATTTTCGCCTTTTTTTTTGGTTGAGTTATTTGTAATCTGAATCACAAACCCTAAAACAGAAGTAAATTTCATCCTCTTCCCATGAAATAAATTAATTTGTCCATTATCTATATGATGGTGAATTGAATTGTTCTAATGCTCTCTCTCTCTCTCTCCTTTTTATTTAAAAAAAAAAAATCTTTTTACTTTTTCGGAGTTAAAAAACTCCATAAAAAGGCCATCAAATATATGTTTTTACTTTTTAGGATGCTGAGCAAATTCTGCCGAGATCTTTACAAATTCACCTGTTTCCTTAGGATTTTAATGGAATATTATCAAATGCATATCAATCATTGAAACTCCTTAACTTAAAGAATATTATTTTCTTATAATAAATCTTATGTGTAGGATACCCCCTTAGTTATTCTATAAGAGGACAACATGTAAATGGTGCTAAAACAATATTTAGAAAACCGAAAATTCTATTGGAAAAATTCATACTTGTTGCCCTATGGTTTATTATTAAACATTCGAAAATTTGAGATCAATCTATCTTGGGAAGTAGCTGACACTTATGTGTAATAATTACAACCATTCTTTGTAGCTAGCAGATGGCTCACTTATGAAGCCATACATGAATCTATGTATTGACTCACGTGTGAAACATGTTTATTTTAGGATATGTATCAAAACACAACTTGTAAATAATTGTGGTCGACTCCATAGTAAATAATGTGTTTATTCATTGAATAGTATTTTCTGCTGCAGCATTTATAAGATTATTGGTGAAGCTAGTTTTCTTTGTTTCTGTAGCAAAGGAATTATGATTTCTACGTGTTCCTCTGAAAACACTCGATGTCTATAACTAATTTTAGACGTGGAAAATAAAGTAAGAAGAAGAAGAAGAAGTTCTAACTTGAAAAATATAACTTTACAACAGGCTACTTGATTAGTGTCTGTCTGTACGAAAAAAGTAAAAAGAAAAACTAAACAGTATAATTTTCCCTCTTCAAGATTTTGTTGTGTGCAGTGGTTAATAACTTTTCATCCAGAATTTTCAATGAGAAGGCCAAACTTAGATGATTTACTTTGTCTTCTTACACTTAACCTCATGTATTGATTTTCAGGATGCAGTTCGAAGCTATCGAGCTCATGAATTACATACAAGTTGTAAATCTTCTATGCAACCTGTGATTAAAGAGTCCGAAAGTAGCAGGAAAGTTGATGTGCAAATACCAGATCCGAATAACAGTAACGATCTAGCATCACTTTTCGACAATGTTTTTACCTCGAGTGCAGTTGCAAAAACATCAAGCAAGAACAAAATTACCAAAAAGACACAAACTGAAGTTGCTCACAAGTTTCTTTCCATTATAAAATACCCTCTTAACACAGAGGCTGCAATGAAGGCAATGTTAGAACGTAATACTTTGGTTTTTGTTGTGGACAAACGTGCAAATAAACCAGAGATCAAAGATGTTGTTGAGAAGATGTTTCAGATACGGGCCAAGAAAGTGAATACACTGATCAATTATGATGGAACAAAGAAGGCTTTTGTAATGCTGGCACGAGATTGTAATGCTTTGGATGTTGCGAAAAGGATTAATTTGCTGTGAAAGTGAGTACTTTTGACTTTTATTTCGAGTGGAAGCTGTTGGAATACTGATTAGATGGGTTTTCAATTTACTATTGGGATCAAGTTTTTGCTTGAATTTGGCTTTTTTTTTTTGTAACAATTTCCTTATAATTTGCATGACAATAGTCTTTAGCAGCTGCCCTGTATTTTTCTGCTATTGAGGCTGTACAAACTACAGACTTGTGAATCCTACCAGCATGATCTCTTGTTTGAGATTTGTTTTATTACAATTATGTTATATTCATGTGGAAAATTAAAAAAAAAAAAAGTCTCAAAATTGTGTAATTTTATCAATAATATTCGTATTGCTCTTGTCCAAATAATTTTGATTAGACAAAAAAATTAAAACTAGCAACTCAAAAAACAAGGAGTGTATTAAAAGTAGTCCCATTGGAATGCAAGATCAATAGTAGTCACATACTTTGAAGAAGTAATAATAAGTAAGAATATTTTTTGTTGGAATTCCACGTATCCCGCTAGAAATGACACGTCACGTTTACATGTCTTACTAAACCACATGTCAATTTTCATATGATTTTCAAAAGTAGTCTCATAACCTTCAGATGTTTCGATGGAAAACGACACTAATACATACAACAAATATGAAATAGAGTGAAGGGAATAAAAATGATCCAATTTTATTTCTCCACTGCCCGTAAAATAATTTTTAAAAATAAATTATCAAAATTGAAGATCCGACCATTTCACTACCACTCGTTGTCGGCGGCCGGCCACCACCGTCAGCCGCCATTCGCTACTCGCTTGCCAGTGATTGATGTCAGACAATTTATTTATCATTTCAAAGTTCTCGACTCAATATTTTCAACATGTTTAATTTCATCATATGATACCTCGAACTTTGTTAAATAATTTTTTAAAGTGTAAAAAAAATTTATAAAGACTACCAAACTAGAGTACGGGTAGGGGTAGAAGAAATTTCCATGCATAAGGATCGAAAAAAAAAACACACCATGATCCATACTCTGGTCCGACACTAAAAGACGAAAGCTAGGGAGTTAATGAGATTAGAGACGCTAGTGCTGTACAAAGATTTGGGAGAGTTTGTTTCTTTAGGCAATTTTAAACTTTTTTATTTATTTTATTATTTAACGTGAATTCTAAAATTTATGTGTAAGTAGAATTTGGTGTGAGATTTTGTATATGTGTTTTGTATGAATCTGATAAATAAACTAAATACTTAATCATGATTTTTAAGATTTTTTAAAATCTCAAATGAATACTCGTGACTTTAGTTTTTTTTTTTTAAAAAAATCTTAAAAGAAAACACAGAATTCTAAAAATCTTAAAAAGTCTATAAAAATCTTGAATGAATACATCCCTAGAAATTTTCTACCATCCAAATTAGGTGAATTTATCATTCAGCATAACTTTTTCATATCATATTATCAAACTCGAGAACGAGACTAAATAAAAAGATAAAATGCCTTTGTTAATTAGCATCAACACAACTTGGCACCAAATCTACCCCCAAACTGAATAGAAAAATGTCAAATTGATGAGGCAAACTCTACAAAACTAAAAACACAAAAAGAAAACCTAAACAAAACAAATCCACACAAAATGAAACTAGACGACCAGGGACGAAACCAGGAAATTAATTGACAGGGGGCAAAAAGACATGACAAAAAATTTGGGGGTGCAAAACATAATTTAAGAGGGGATTAAAATTTTTTAATTAAAATAGTAAAAAAAATTAAAGCAAATTAGATTTTTTAATTATAATAGTAAAAAAAATAAGATTTGAATTGCCCCCCCTATAAATAAGGTAGTTTCGCCCCTGTTAATAATAAGACGACTAATCTTCTGTTATACACGTACAATGAAACTAGGCATATTTTAGAGTTGTACTAGTAGTTTTTAATTTGATGGAAGTTAATAGGTATATTTTAGAGATTACTTGTTTCTTCTTCTTTCTTTCTNAGACATAAATTTCGCATGATCTACAAGATCGCTATTTCCCCTACTTTTTGTTCCTCCTGTTTTCATCTAAGCAAGTACACATGCACCCATTCCTTCTAGAAGATCATGGAGATTCGCAAAATTTCAAAAACCAAATGAAATTATTTCTTCTAGAAGGGCGTAATCTTTAAATTCACACAACACACAATCCCGTCAACAACAAACTCGTGCCCCCAAATATTTCGCCAAAATCAGTTTAGTTTCAGCCCAACACAACACAAAATATTATGTATATATAAAACCAAAAATAGACGAAAAATCAAATCGATTAAACCTTTTGCCTCAATTCAATTTTGTTCTGTTTTTTTTCCTCGAACAACAGATTGAAAATGGCTGCCGGCGATCAGGAGGAATCATCGTCGTCGTCGTCGGCGTCGGCGCCGGCGCCGGCGCCGGCGCGCGAGAGGGGGAAAAAACAGGACGAGCAGAAAATCGCTTTCCACAAGCTTTTCTCCTTCGCGGACAGGTATGACGTGGCGCTTATGGTCGTCGGGTCCATCTCCGCGGCCGGCAACGGCGTCGCCCAGCCGCTGATGACGCTTTTCTTCGGCGAGCTCATCAATTCCTTCGGCGGCCAGGATCGAACCCGCGTCGTGCATGAAGTCTCCAAGGTTTTATTAAAGGGCTTATTTTGGTTAATTGTCTGTTTGTTTTTGCCCTCATTATGCATTGTGTTCGTTTTTCGTTCTTGTTCAATTTGGAGTTTTTAGATTATGAAATATCTCGCAGTGAGTTGTCTTCTTCCTCTTCAAATTGTTTATTTTGGTGTTTACTGCTTAGAGTTAGCGTAATTTTTTATATGGAGTACGTTGAGGTAATTTGAAAATTTTCCTTAATTTTTTTTAAATGTATATTTTTCATTTTACTGTTCTGTTCATCTCCTCAGTTAAACAAAGGTTGAATTTAGATGATTTAAAGTCCTTTCAATTTCAGTTTCTATGGAGATGTATGGTTCTTACTTCTTAGCCAGCTAGGCAGCTATCCTTCTGCAATTTTGTCTAATTTGAACTTATTTTTGAAGTCCATTGCTGAGAAATTATCCTGAGCTTATCTTTTAAATGTAATCTTTAGGTATCTCTGAAATTGGTGTACTTAGGAATCGGTGCTGGTTTTGCTTCACTTTTACGTAAGCACACGGCACGATTTATATGGTTCATTTCTTCATAAGTTAAATTGTTCTCATAGTTCTGAANGCAAATAAAAATATTTGATGATGAACAGAGGTTTTGTGTTGGACTGTTACCGGTGAAAGACAATCGGCCCGCATAAGAGAGCTCTACCTGAGAACAATATTGAGACAGGACATTGAGTTTTTCGATACTCAGACGACAACTGGCGAAGTTATCGGGAGAATGTCGGGAGATACAGTCCTTATCCAAGAAGCCATGGGCGAAAAAGTAAGTTCAAGTTCGCTCATCATTTTTAAATTATTTTAAGAAACGAAATAATACAGAGAAAACGGCAAATTAATTTTTTTGGTGATTTCAGGTTGGAAATTTTATTAAGAATATGTCGAGCATATTGGTTGTTTGTTTGTTTGTTTCTTGCTGTCATTATGCATTGTTTTTACTTGTTTCATGCAATCGGGTTTATTGGTCGTGTCGAACTCAGAAAACAGAATGTCGAAAAAAATAAGCTCGCTCCTCATTTTTAAAGGTCGAATCAGAAAAACGGAAAATTAATTTTCTTGTGATTTTTTTTCAGGTCGGTAAATTTATTCAGAATATGTCGACTTTCTTCGGAGGCTTCCTTCTTGCTTTTGTCAAAGGATGGCGGCTAGCGATTGTTCTGTTTTCAACAATTCCTGTTCTTGTGGCGGCTGCTGCTTGCGTGAGCATAATCATCTCGAAAATGGCAACTCGTGGCCAAATTGCTTATGCCGAGGCTGGGAATGTAGTCGAACAAACAGTTGGAGCAATTCGAACGGTAAAAAACAAAAAAAAAAAAAACAAAAAAAAATAAATTGTTTTTTGCTAGTTTTTTTCCTGATTCGACTTTTGCGATTCTGCCTAACTCTTTTATAGGTTGCATCCTACACGGGTGAGAAAAACGCTTCAGAAAAGTATGATAGTAAATTAGAAGTAGCTTATAAGTCCACTGTTAAACAAGGCTTAGCTTCTGGCTTTGGAGTTGGTATGTTAGTTTCGGTTATCTTTTTCACTTATGGGCTCGCTATATGGTACGGAGGAAAGTTAATCCTCGACCAAGGATACAGTGGAGGTCTTGTCATAAATGTTGTCATGACCATGATGACTGGCGGCATGTAAGTGTTTTCGAATTTTGACTATTTGAGTAAATTGTAATTTTAGTCCTGTTTGTATGTTTTACTACCATAACTTTTTCGTCCCATTCCAATTGATTTTTGTTTTTCGTTATGATGTTTGCAAAAATGTTTCAAAAAATTCTCGAGCATACATAAGTGACGAAATTGCAACTTTTTTTGCAAAACATAAGGGACTTTTTTTGTTGCGAAAAGGACCTTAGAGTGAAATATACATGACTAAAATTGCAATGTACTCTGACTATTTTTTGCTCTTTCTTTTTCTCGAAACTAAATTTTGAAATCCGACTGAACAGGGCACTCGGCCAGACTTCTCCATGCATGAATGCATTTGCAGCGGGCCGGGCCGCAGCCTACAAGATGTTCGAGACCATCAAACGCAGGCCCAAAATAGACGCGGCCCAAACCAAAGGGGCTGTGCTGGAGGATATGATTGGCGAAATTGAGCTGAAGGATGTTTACTTCAGGTATCCAGCCAGGCCCGAAGTGCAGATATTTTCGGGCTTTTGTCTGCACGTGCCCAGTGGGAAAACTGCTGCATTGGTGGGCCAAAGTGGGAGTGGGAAATCGACTGTTATCAGTTTGGTTGAGAGGTTTTACGATCCGGATGCTGGTCAGGTTCTGATCGACGGCTTGGATTTGAAGAGCCTGAATTTGAAGTGGATCAGAGGGAAAATCGGGCTCGTAAGCCAAGAGCCGATTTTGTTTGCCACGACTATTAAGGAGAATATACTTTACGGCAAAGAGGATGCTAGCGATGATGAGATAAGGAGGTCTATCGAGCTTGCTAATGCTGCTAAGTTCATCGACAAGCTTCCACAGGTAAAGCATTTGTTTTTAAATGTTTTAGTCGTTTAACGTCATAGAAATTTTAAATTACAGGGCTTAAATTGTTAATTGAAAATTTGGGGATTTGGGAGTGTGGTGCAATTTCAGTCAGACTGAAATTGCAGTAAAATATTAAATCACAGGACCAAAAAGCAAAATGTTAGAACCTTGTGACTAAAATTGTTATGACGTTAAACCGGCAAGGACTAAAAATACAATTTTGCCTTATAAAACATGCTTCCACAGTAGGTTTTTAGAACTCGAACGTTTTTCTTTTTGTTTTGACAGGGTCTTGATACGATGGTAGGAGAACACGGGACTCAACTCTCTGGGGGTCAAAAGCAAAGGATCGCAATTGCTCGGGCCATTTTGAAAAATCCGAAAATACTTCTGCTTGATGAGGCAACGAGTGCTCTGGATTCCGAGTCGGAACGTATAGTCCAAGAAGCTCTCGATAATGTGATGACCAATCGGACAACGATAGTCGTTGCACATCGACTGACTACCATAAGAAATGCGGACATTATAGCTGTCGTGCACTCGGGGAAACTTGTCGAGCAAGGTACATCCACAGAAAGCTTGCATGAAGTTTTTACCAGCTCTGTTTCTTGATTAGTTTATAAGCTTCCTGTATTCAAATAAGCTTCATTTTCATTTGGTAGGACGAACTTTTTTTTAAAAACTCGAGCTTATCTCATAAGCTTCTTTGAGCAGCTTTTCAAATATGCTCGTTGAAATTTTTATTTCATCAGCTAAATTTACCAAACATTTTTATTATATAAGCTAGTTTTTCAGCTATAAGTCATAACCTATAAGCTATAAACTAAAAAATCACTTATAATCTATAAGCTATCTTATCAAGCTAGTTTTACCTAGACTTAATTTATGTTTCATCTTTTTTGTTTTTCATTTTTTTTTTCTTTTGCCAGGCACACATGCCGAGCTAATGAAAAACCCGGAAGGAGCGTACACGCCACTTGTCCGCATGCAAGAAGGGTCCAAACAACCCAACATCAATAATAACAAGTCAACCGAACCACAAAAAACCGAGCCCTTTGCAGTCCTCGACCGAACCCTAAGCAAGTCCTCGAGCCACAGAATATCGACACGTAGGTCCACAAGCATTGGGTCATCATCAAGGCACTCGTTTGCCCTTCCACCTTACGGAATCCCCGGTTTAGTCGATTTTCATGAGGCTCAAGAAGCCACAAACACGAACGAAATCCACAGAGATGAAAACCTCGACTATAAAGTGCAAAAGCGAAAGAGGGTCTCGATTAAACGGCTCGCCTCCTTAAACAAGCCCGAAATCCCGTTTTTGCTCTTAGGTTCGTTGGGCTCTATGGGCTCTGGGCTTGTGTTCCCCATTTTCGGGCTCTTGCTGTCATCGGCTATTAAAATATTCTTCGAGCCTCCACACGAGCTGAGGAAGGACTCGAGATTTTGGGCCCTAATGATGGTTCTTTTAGGGGTGAGCACCATTTTGTCTTATCCTGTGCAGAATTATTTCTTCGGGATTGCGGGTGGGAAGTTAGTCCAAAGGATCCGTAGTTTGACGTTTAGAAAAGTCGTGCACCAAGAGATCAGCTGGTTTGACGATCCTGCTAACTCAAGGTTC